CAAGATTAGCGAGAAGAGAGCAAGCAGTATTAAGCTTTCCATATTCTTAGCTTATTTTTGTGATACTTGAATGGCAATAACTTCTTTATCTTTCAACCGCAAATGGCAGATGGGAATGCAAGTCGAGCGGTAAATCGAATAAGGGTTGAAAGGACAATAATTTCTTTCCCTGTTTATCTAAAAAGTTTCTTTTTATTATCAAACTTCGCTTGCTAGCACGCGATATATCTATTAATTAATATGGGATAGTAAAATATGATCCAATTGAATCTACAGTGCAGCCAAGGCCTGTTGCACAGAACGTTTGCTAAAAAACATTTAAGTTCAAAAGGGACGATCGGAAAAAACAAGTCATCATTTTTTGCAAAACGGGGCCTAAGAACATTATATGCGGTCGTCACCGAACCTTTTATACCCGTCACAGTTCTCCTAAAAAACAAAAAGGAACTTCATTTTAATACCCTATAAAATGGGATGGGCGCAGTTGATTTTTTCTATTTTCAGAATAGAAGTGGAAATTGATAGGGTGTTGGTTGGGCAGGGGAAGAGATGAAGAGACGAACAGCCAAACATGCTTAGGTGGCCAAGAATTTATATGCTTTATGAGGATTTTGTGACTTGTGTCTGCGGGTTATAAAGGTATTGAGAAAGTACTTAAATGCTTACATACCATACTAGTGGATAGTCGTAGTCAACTTTTCCCATTTTTATGCAGGTGCAATAGCATCGTCTAGAGAATAGAATTTGTGTGTTTATGAGTAACGAGCAAAAAGCCAATTTTGTATTCGTTCTGTAAAACAGTAATGTTCTCAGATTACCTGATACTGTAGACGTATGATTTGATAGATTTGGCTAAATCGCTTTAAAATTTTAAGACGATAAGGAAATTATGCACTTTGTGGGTTCTCTGACACTTCCTTCTGTGCGTTGCAAAGAGCATTGAATATATCCCGCGTACTTTGGTGATCGGTGTAAGAATTACATAAAACAAAACAGTGCAGAGTAATCCAAGATTCGATTCTCAAGATTTTGAATTTTTGCTTAAGCTATTTTGTAGCAAAAAACAAATCTTTGTCTATCTTTAGTTTAGTTTGTAGGCAAAGTATTTGCTTGTTACGTGTACTCGTCCGATAAGATAAATGCAATTTTATGTAATTAAGTATTTAATATTTCGCTCTGTAAACTGTAACTCATATTCATTTCTGCAACCGTTACTCGTGTTCGTTTCGCAAGCGAGTAACTTTACCATCATCTGCAGCTTTTCTTTTTTCTATAAAAGAACAACGCATGCGTTCCTTACTATATCCAACTCAACAAAAATTTTCGCTCTATTTTCTTTTTGCTGATTTCCCCTTTGTGAAGCAGCTGTTTTTCGTTGGCCCCTTTTAAGGTTATATCATGATATTTCTTTTTCTTCTTCCGCGAGCCAGCAAACCAACAACAGATGATTAACTGCGCTGCACAAAGCTCTCTACTTGAACCTTAGTAAAGCATTGCGATATTTATTCGCGTTCTTTTCTTAGATAAGCATTTATTGGAAACTGTTATATAATGTCGGAATAGGGCGACCTTTAGCGACCTGTAGGAATTTTTTACAATCACGATTCTCCTTCAGTTTACGTAACTTTCTGGGCGTCAATCAATTCAAAATACGATCGGTTATAGGACTCATAAGGTACGGCTAGCTTCACCTCTCCTCACTTTTTTTTAAATGGATCCGACGAAGCGAAACTTGCGATAGTCTATCCGAAAAACGCCTTGCCTTCCACCGATCAGTCTCTCCCCTTAGTAAAGAAAGCACGCTCATACCAACATAAGACAGGATTCTTACGTAAAGTTCTTTCAAAGTGCCCTCAAAATTGCTCCCCACCACCTCCCGTATGAAGCCTAAAAACCCTTTAAACCTTAAACTCATTGCTTGTTGCAAGAATTTTTTCCCTATAACAAGCGACTTCTAACAGAAGGGCTCTATCAAGTTCCTAAGAAAATTGGTCAATTATATTAAATGCACTGATGAATAATTGCTTTAAAGCAAGAAAACTTTTTCTTTCTTATTTTTCTGTGAATGACATAATGACAAGTTATAAAGGCTTAATATGTCCCAAGCATTTGAGATATGCAGCTATCGTGAGACACCTGATATTCGCCAGACGTGCATAAACAATAATTTTATAACTATGTGAAATCAAGTACTGAGTTAAACATGAAAAAATAAACTAAAGACAAGTTGTGCAGAAAATTGCGCTATTAGCCACCGGTAATCAAATTACATGATTATTAGTGATTGCGTATGTGAATGCACCCGTGTAGACTAACAATGTAACCCGGTGTGCGCACGCTGTTTGCGGTAGACAAGCGTACTTGAAGTTACGTAATGTCGTTCTTTTTTGCATTTAAAAAGCCCACAAGGATGTAAGTAGGTATAAAATGTATTCGTCAAAGGTTATTCGGAAACTTTGTAATAATAATTTAATTTAATTCTCATGCAAGAAAAACTATGACTTAGCTAGAAGCTAGATCAATGACAGTTAATTGGTGCTCTTCCAAGACGAAGTTACGCTTGTAATCAGACATTTCCGGGAACGATAGCTATTCGTGAAGCCTCTGAACTGGAATTGTTATTGACGTCACTACCTACTTTTACACATAAACCAAAACTGTCCCCCGGTGCATTCGTTTGTTTAATACAAAGTTTCAAAACGATTTAATGCGATCAACTAATCATTATTATCTTCTCTGACGTCTTCTTAGCCGCTCAGTCATTCGTCCGTACATTCGCAAATTTTTAATTTTTCCTCAATACGGACTTCGGAATAGTTTCGCACTTGTTAGGTTTATATTCAAATCATGAAAACAGAGCTCGGACGAGACGTTGCACTACGACCCAATCTGGCCCAATCTTGCAGCAAAAAATCCATACAATGTTTCTTTAAGCTTAACGCAGTCTCTAGGCAGAGAGTTTCGGAGACTTGAGCCTCAACGACAAATAACGACGTTAAGCCTCTAAAAAAGGTTTACCTGCATATCTGTCCGCCCATATATTGCGGTCTCCAGGAGGGAAAGGTCTTGTTAAATCGTTTGCCTGTCCAAGTTAACGGGTACAAAGTTCCCCAAATTTCCTAGCCAACTGCCAACACCCACAGTAAACCCCTGCAAAGGTCTTTCCACCGCTCATTCACCGTTCCGACACTGGGAGCGACGAGTTACGCGAATTTCATAAATTCATGTAATCAATCCTGTACTTCGGGAAACAAATCTGCATGTCGGATACCCACGTTAAGCCTCTCGAAGAATTCTCGTGTGGAAGTGCGCGCGCTTTTAGCGCCCTAGTCGAACTAGGGTTAAACTTTGGCGACCTCAGCTGCTCAGAATAACGGCTAATATGCGGGACCGCTTCTTCCACTGCCCATCTCTCAAGTACCCGGAAAATTTAAAAGATTTAAAAAAATTCTAAAACAGTCATTTCTGCTTGATGATCATAGAACAAAGCTTGGTTAGTTTAGTTTTAAAAAAGAATAAGATTCCATTTCCATTGGTTTGTCCAATGCTAACTTGAAAAGATGAAAATTGCACGGCATTTACTTCAACGGCTTATAATGCAGAAATTGATTTAAAGCTTGACACGAATTCTTTATAACGCATTTCGATTCTAAGACACTTTGTTTGACTTTAAATTTTTCATGAAATGAAGTAATACTACAGTGACATGTGGTTGGGTTACTTGTATCGATTATTCCGCAATGACTCAATTCTTAGATGCTTGCCCACCTACGCTTAGAAAACTTGTGCATGCTCAGTAAATATGTAATAATGCAATAAATTGGCAAAAACATATGTTCGCGTCTTGTCTTCCATTTATACTTTCAATATAATTGCCCGTCCTTAGAGCAATGTGCAGAAGTGCTATTTACCGTTCTCTTTTTTTTGCCTTTCTCATATTTATTTCAAACATTTGCAAACACCAGTCCCTTATTCCGCACTCCTTTAACCTCCAATATAATTGCCCGTCTTTAGAGCAATGTGCAGAAGTGCTACCTAGCTGCCCTTCTCTTCTTTCTGCCTTTCTCACATTTATTTCAAACATTTGCAAACACCAGTCCCTTATTTCGCACTCCTTTAACCTATAATGCTTTTCAGCCGTGTACACCTTTACCTGTAATACTTTTTAAATATGCGGCATATCTGCACGTATAAGGGATATAGTTGAACATTGAATCATTGAAAAAAGAAAGAAATCAATATTGAAATTTCGTTTTTGCCAACCTGAGATTTGCTATTAGGTATATAGATTTGTTATTAGGTTTCTAGTACACAATAAGTAAGCGATTAAATGCAAAATTCCAACTTCGTTTAGCCAGCTCAAGGTACATCTGTCGGATTGTAAAGTTTTCTTTTCTCTTTTATTTCACTCTTTATTTATCTTATGTGTAAATAAATTGAAATTTATATATATATATATATATATTTATATATATTTTCTTCTTTTTTTTTTTTTTTTTTTTTTTTTCTTAATTAACCAACCATAACATTTGACTCTCGGACTTGATGAGAACGGAAATTAAATAAAACTAAATAGAATAAAAGAATCGATGAACGGACTGAGAGTAAACTACATATCGAACTGATATTCTTTTTGTTTTTCATCTTTTATTTTGTTTTTGATTTATTTAATTAAAGTACAATTTACTATAAGACTATGATTTTTAAAATAGAAACATAACGTGCATATGTAAGCAAGCACATGCCTGACTGGCTGGCTATTTTCTTACCTATATATGTGCGCTGAAAACGAGGTGGTCGGTCTACGTTGAGGCTAAAACAAATGGAGCGCAAATTTTATACAATCAAGGTCAATGAGAGAAAAAAAAAAACATACGAACCGTTCAAAAGAAACCAATAATTGCTATTGCATGCACATATATTGGTCGATTCCAATTAACTGTTTTTAATTAGCCAAAGTAATTGCATTAATTACAATTCTCTTCATCTAATTATTGCAGGCACTTCGGAAGCGAATAAACGTAAAAAATTGAAAACTCGCAGTAACGCAACCCTATCGAATTCTTTGGGTTATTCAAAGGATCATTTGGACGCTTGGTTAGAAACTTGTCTCAAAGATGCTTCCAATGCCCAGCTATCATCGTCATCAGAGTTCTTGGATTACAATCCTTCAATCAATACTATGACAGTAACAGCGACAGCAAACCCAGTAACAATGGGCAGAAATATGTTTCCAATTGTCCAACAAAATCATCACACAATGCAGTGCAATTCAAATTCGAATTCATCTTTACAACAACAACAACAGCAGCAGCAGCAACAGCAACAACAACAACAGCAGCAACAACAACAATTTGCTTTAAGAACAAATCCCATTAGCAATAATATGCCAAATAATTACAATAATAATAATTTCAATGCTCCTTTCAGCCAAGGTTTTCAAAAGGTATTTATTATTTTCTTATTCTAGATAGATATTCAGGTTCAATAAACTTTATAAATGAAAAAAAATATATATATTTTTATACTCTACATCACTGGTGGCACATGGTATATTAAGTTTATACTGACGTATGTAACACGCTTACAAAGAGCTTAAGACTAGTCCATTTTTTATTATACCGAGCGATTCAGCAAATGATTCTGAATAAGCCTGTCTGTCTGTCTGTCTACTGAGTTATGATATTTTGATGAAACTGGGTACACCGACGTGCTTTACCTTAAGGACGAACATTATTAAAAATGGTTTGGATCACTCCGCCCTTCCGACCGCTCTCCATATAATGTGCTACTATTAAAAGTCATCCAAAGTCGGAAAAAAATCACGGTTTCCAAAATTTCTCGATAAAACTTGCTCTGTAATAATGTTTGGACATTTTAAATTTGTATAAAAAATTTGCTTTTTCTGGGGCAAATTTTTAAACCCTCCCTCAAATAATCGCTCCTAGGATAATTGAATCTCTATATATAGTAAAAAGGCATAATTTTTAATATTTCATGGTGAGAATTATTTCATAATATAAAATAAATTGACATAGAAATCAACCTTATCGAATTTGAACTCCATAGATCTAAATTTTGCGTATCAAAAGTATGCCTTATGAGTATGAAGATAATGCTTAACGCTTGATGGATTGTTATCAAAACAACTAAATAAGTGTATAAGGCGAAGTGGTGAAGGGTACTTAATAGTCGGCCTTGCCCGACTATAATGTTCTTACTTATTTTTTTTTTTTTGTATATATGTTTTAGCAAAACATGCCAAATTTTATGAAAAATACAAATCGCTATACAAATATGTTTCCCCCCATGGGATTATTAACCAGCGGCGGCACTAGCTACTTTAGCCAAACTGAAGGCTCACAAGATTTTGCTAGTTTACCACCAATGGTTAACATTATGGGTGGCAATGGTGGTGGTAATGGCAATTCATCCGAACATGAAAATAATTCCACTGATGTTTTAGACGGCAGTACCAACAATCCAAATATTAATAGAGGGTAAGTAATTAAGAAAACAACAACAAATAAAAAAGAACTTAATTCTTTTAATCAGCCATTATTTATCATTAGTTTCAGATTTAGCGATCCTTGTTTATTAAATCCTTCCGATAATGACTCGAAATTAAGCGGCCAAAACACTCCAGATAAACGCACCGGTACAACAAATGATGCAGATAATAATACGAATAAATTCTTTTCAATTTTAATGGAACAAATTCAACTGCTACATGAAACGAATTCAAAGATTTGCCGGAACTTGCACGAAACAAAAGGTAAGAAACTAAACTTGAGTGAAATTAATTAAATAATTTTTCAATTTTTCAAATTTTTCAAATGAATTTAAACCAAGTCGCTTCTATATTGTATTTTTTTAACTTCGAGTCTATATAGGACTATTCGACCTAATGAAATAAAGGAGCTCTTGAGCAGATTTGCATTACAAGTTAACAATAAGAAAATCATAGTCCATAGCCAAGTCCGAATATTCTTGCACCGAACGTCTCAACCATGGAATTTTTACGCTCATCATGAAAACACGAGTAATTTTAAATTGATATCTATCGTTACGAAAACTATATGCGTGTAGCGTATTTAATGCGGGTCCGTGCTCCGTTGTAATATTATTACTTGCTACCCGATCCGCGTGGTGGCCGAGCAGGCAATAGTCTCCAGTAGCAATTCAGTGATCGTGGGTGCAAATCTCAAGTGTGGTAGAGTTTTTAATAAAGCCGAACAATTTATTCTCTGACTAAATTAATTATAACAATAATAATAACAGTAATAATATTTGCTACCTTGCCAAGAAGAACACTGAATTAATTTCTATCGGCCGTTCTCCTTCGATTCAAAAACAATAAAAGAAAATTTGTTTAAATCAAACGTAGAACGCATAGAGTATCTGTATTCTTGATCAGCATCAAATTCTAGATTGATTTAAGTGTGTTCGTCCGCTCTCCCGTCTATCTGTCTGTCCACGTAATCTCTCCCCTCGTTGCTTATAAACCACAAAAACCACGATAACAAAAATTTGCATTTATGTTTCAAGGCAGTGCCGTAAAATCTGTAAAAAAGGATAAAATCATCCACGCCTACTCAATATTGTGGAATATTAAAAGTTCGTTCTTTTATCAAAACGTTTGCGGCACGTAGAAAGAAGCTTCACAGATTATATAAAGTCAGCATATTAATGATCAGAATTAAGCGATGATGGGTATAAAAGACTCGGTTCCAGCCGAATATAATTTTCTTATTTCCCCGTTTTGCGTTCAATCTCTGATGCAAAGCAGAGTGAACTTCGTCAGCTCTTAATAAAATAAAAAGTCTTCGCTTACAGTACAATCAGTAAATCTGCCCAACTGCTCCAACGCGTTCTTTTTTATGCGAACATCCCTTATGTGTATGATTTAGGTATCGTGCTCTGCATTCTCCCTTGTAAATATTTATGTGTACAGATAATGTCTCTTACAATTTCTATGTCTTTCCTTGTGTTTCTCTTGAAATATTAACAATTGTTTGTTGTTTGTTTTTTTAATTTTATGTTTAATTTATGTTTTATTTATTTGTTTTTTCTTTCTTTATGTGTGGGTTTTGTCGATCTTTTGTCAATTTTTCTTTTTGTACGATTTGTTTTTTTTTTTTTTTGCGTACAACTTTAGTTGATATTGAAGCTTTAAAGCACGCGCCCAGTTGGGGTTTGAGGCACCGTAGAGATAGCATAAGTGGATTAAGTACACACAGTCAGCCCATGATATTTGGCGGTGGATTTGGTGGCACACAAAGTCCAGCGCCAACATATCATTCAGGTAGGTTTCGTACCTTGCTAAAGCAAAGATTGTGAAAAACATTTACATTGTGTGGCATGAGAAATTAAATTGAAATTATTAAATTTATTACATTTTTATATATGCAGGAGCGTATACGCCAGGTATGATGACCGATGTAGTGCGCGAGGTTAAGGAAGCCGCCCGTGTGCGTGAAGATGCTTTACTAAATCGCGTTAAAGCATTGGTAGAGGAACGTCAATGGTCTATAAATGAATCTAATTTACGTATAATGCGAGACCTTGAAGAATTAAAAGTATGAACACACATCCGTATATACACGTTTTAAGTGAAACCATGTTTCTCTTTCTTTAGTCGCAAGTTCATCATTTACGCTTGGAACGCAAGGAGTCTAATAAACGCATTAATCATTTAGAAGCCGAAAATAAATATATGCGTCAAATTTTGGCCACAATATTCAATAGTAATCGGCATGTTCCCGATATTATTTATGAAAATGAAACATTACGTCCACGAAAACCATTTCCGCATCACGCGCGTCGTGCACAACCTTTAAATCTTCAATACGGTACAATACATCATCAATCGATGCCAAAGACATTGTCGGTAGATGAACAAGATGAAGAACCTTTACATATTATTGAAACTCCGTCCACCAATTCCACGGCCGACATGGCCTCAGCAGTAAATGCACAGAAAGCAATTGAAATGCGCAACTCATTCTCTAGTTCTGACGGAGGCAGCATAAATAACGATACGGGCAACAATGGTAATGCAAAATTTATTCCTGTTATGTCGCCGCCGAATTTCGCTTTAGTTTCTTCGCCGCCTGATGATGTGAAACGGAAAAGAGATAAGATTATGGCGAAACCGAGTAAAGAAGAAACTGGAACTGATACGGGTTTGGAAGTTAGTAACACAAATATTTCGAACCAAGACTTAAGACGAGAGTTAAAAGAAGCTGTAGCTGCTCGTAAAGATGCAGCTGAACGTATTATAGCGTGGGTTTAAATTTAACTCTTATTAGTTATCTGCTTTATTTCTCGTTAAACTCACTTTCACAATTTTTTATACACACAGTATGTTGGTTTGTTATACGTTTATTCTGTTATTTGTTTTTTTTTTTTTTTTTTTTATTTGCATGCATATACAAGTACTGCTTTAAAAAAAAAACCATAATAATCAATGCCTTATAGTCTATCGGTAGAACAAAATATATTGATTATATAAGACAAGAAGCATGATTAATTAGCTTGGCTAAACGGTCGTCTGGGATTCCTATAGGCAGTTACGTTTTGGTCCGCATAGAAAGTTACATTGACAAAACTATAAGAAGAAGCGTAAAAGAAAATTTTGGGTTATTTTTTTTTTAGACAAATAACGAAAACCGTAATAACATAGGTCAAAACTTAAGTAACAAAGGTATCAATGAATTGTACAAGACTTTGATTAAAAAAATTGGACGAAAACCACCTAAAGAAGAAAGGTTTTAATCAAATACCGAGGTGGAAATTGACCCAATCCGAATCATTTTTCCATATAGCCTTCCTTCGACATTGGCTATGAATTTAACTGAGATTAACTAACCTAAAGACGCTAGGGCGCCAAGCAAAAGAATTTATGAATTTGCATAGAGATCGTGAAGAACACAGTATACCTATTGTAGATAACGAAGGCCGCTATACTTATGTCAGTTTAATTTCATATTATATTCCTTAGCAATTACTCATCAAAAGTTAGCATTAATTATTATAAAATTAATTTTGTTTATTGTCTCACATAAGCACCCCGATTCCATCACATAATATTATACTACATATATATTAATTCATTAACCATAACCATGTGGACAGTCGTGAAATTTTTGTAATCTCTCTCGATCTTTGTTTTTAGACTTGAGAAATTGGTTAAGAATCTACAAGTCCATGCTACTACTACTACTACTACTACTAGTACTACTAGCACACATCATGCATCTGCAACAACCCCTAGCACTTCCATTGATGTACCATCACAACCACAACAACAACATTTATCAAATGGTGATGGTAGTATTCTATTAAATAATACAGGAGCTACAAGTAAAACTAATAAACGGGCAGCATATTCCACATCTTCGATTAAAAGAAATCATAATAATAAATGGTCAGGAAATGCAAATGCCAGCATTAGCAGCAGCAGTAACAGCAGTAGCAATTTAGCTAATAGTTCGCCAGTTAAATTAACTGTTGCCGGACCAATAACCGATTTATAGTTTAAAAGATATTCATTGCTATCAAGTGCAACTTTTAATGGTGGTATACGAATCTCACATTTTTGAATTGACTGTGCAGTTGAAAAATGGCAACGAATACACTTTTGGATTCCATAATATAGTACAATAAAGAAAGCAAACGATCAAAAAATTCGGAAAAACTTTTAACTTAAACTTAGATAATTTTTACCATTAACATTAGCATAAAGTACGTTAAAAATCGTTTGTGTTCTTAAACGAAGTTATTTGGTGACTAATATACCCCTGCAAGTACTAAAAACGTTAAGAATCTCTAATCTATGTAATGATTTCATTAATTAATAATTTACTTCAACGTTTTTATTTTTTTTTTTTTTGATATTGATATTTCATTAATGTGAAAATGTTATTTACTGACTTACATGAATATTATTATATATTATAATACATGCGTATATGCATATGTTTTAAGTCGTACCCGAGTTAATAATAGGTTGATGAAAAGGAAATTTCGTTTGGACATTTGAATAATCTGTTTAAATGAAAATATATATATACGTAAAAATATATTTTGTTAGTTTATATATTTATGTGTAATTTTCTTCCTTTTTTTTTTAATTACTTATTAGTGTAAGTGCCATTTTATCAAACTAAATAAAACATAGAAACATAGAAAATTTCCATGAAAATGTATTTTGTCTTTTTAATTAGTAACAACATCGGCCCCAAGCAACAGGAAGAAACTGTTTTAAAACTAACTGTGGGAATACTTTATTTTATCAATCTTCGAAATTTTATCATTTCGTCTCGCGCTTTACGCAAATTAGGTTTCGTGAATTCTCGCGGTATACCTGGTTTTTCGTGAACTGATAGAAATCCTGAAGTAAATTCAATGAGCAGCAAATTTACTTTGATTGAATCAATTACTTACTATAGTGAAATTGGTGTTGATTGAATGAAAGATGTAACTTAATGCTTAATGCTTACGTTAGCATAAAATTAAAATTAGGTTAAATAATATAAATGCTTATGCTAATAACAAAAAAATTAAAATCCTTACACCAATAACAGAACCTAAAGTCATGTCACTAGGTATATTAAGAATATTACAAATGGGTGCTGTCTCCTACAATTAAATGCTCTCTAGAAGTGTTTAAAAAATCCTAGTTTTGGTATATAAAAATTTATTTACTTTTTCGCTTTTCAACAACAAACAATAGTTGAATAACATAGCTTAACCAGCTTGAGATTCTCAGATGATTTACGTACGTCAATTATTGACTTATGCAAAAATGCCAAGTCTAACGATTAGTCCATTTATCCATTCGTACATGTACAATGTAGTGTTGGCGTTTTATCGATTGTACGCTACATCATATAAATCGTTAATTGACCAATGGACGCTGGATATCTTTTGCTTACGAGAGTAAGCGTATAAAAATTTAGGCGCATACGAGAATACGCGTATATATTCTCAATAATTCGAAAAATGTGAGAATAAGCGTCAAATTTTTTTACATTTGTTGAATAATTGTTCAAGTATTTGTATAAAAATTTGGCTGCTTACTATTAAAAGTTTACATACCAATTACGGAATTCGATGTTTATGGTACGAGATATTTATGGACTGGGATATTTTATTAATGCGCTCAGGAAAAAATCTCTTTTCATAGAGTTACTTTTGCGGTTTTTACCATAACAACCATTAATGATTATTACACTTTTTTTAATTGCCGTTACACCTAATACCTCATTATTGATGTTAATATCAATCTTCTAATTGAGGCACACATTTATTACTAATTATGCACTTACTTGGCTTGAACATATTTCTATTAAAAACCTACTGTTAACTTTCTATCACTCGCGTAGTTTGTATCATTAAAAAAGGTGTCTGATATTTCTACCTCTAACGGAATCAAAAATTTTTAATCAATACATTTTCTAATTAAAGCGAAATTCTATCGATAACTTTGCTTACCTAATTCAACTCTTATGCTCCTTTTTTTGTGTTTTTGCTACTTTTTACTCTTTGTTACCTTTTGCAACGAAAATTAAAATTGGTGTTATCGATTTATTATGAATGCGCAATGTTAAACTAAGGAAGGAAGAAGAGGAATACATATAGCTACGAAAGTCGGGAAAAATCGCTAAACATTTCTTTTCATATATTTATTGAATGGTTCAACATTTATTTAGAGTAAATTTAAGAACCATGAACAGCGTTAAAAAATCCAAGCAATCCCTAGCAACAAATAAATCAAAGATCAAAAAAAATCGAACCCAAATCCCACAAATTACAGAGGCGGTAAGTTTGTTTAAAATTAACTCTTAGCGCTGGCTAATCTGCGAATTTATTAGATGAAAGTTGATAACAATATCAATTCTATTACTGAAAAGCTTGAAGTTAACGGCAAAGCAGGCCGAAAAGCAAACGATGATGAAATTTTGGATATGGAAGAAATGAGTTCGTCTACTTATGCAAAAACTAGATTAAGAACTAAAAAAAAATCAGACGAATTAGAAAAAGGCGGCAAAGTGCACAACAATCCTTCTGTAATAGACCTAAAACAGTTAGATGAAGAACCGGAAAAAGTAATCAACTCTAAAAAACCCAAAGGTATAAATGAACTTACGGGGGCTAGTTCAAGCAAAAAAATCAAAAAAGAAACCGATGAAGTAAACTGGGAGCCGAAGGATTGGCGGGAGATTTTAGAAAACATACGTTTAATGCGTTTGAAGGATAATGCTCCTGTGGACACAATGGGTTGTCATAAATGTGCTGATGAGAATGCTGACGAAAAGGTTTCTATTTTCTTCCCAAAAATCGCTTTTTCATCATCTTTTTAAATTTTACATGTTCTAGACTCAAAGATTTCATAAGCTAGTCGCTCTTATGTTATCAAGTCAAACCAAAGATGAGACCACGTATCATGCCATGTTAAGATTGAAAGAACAAACTCTTATTCCCGAGACGATAGTTAATATGAAATTAAATACTTTGGAGAATATGCTCCATCCTGTTTCATTTTATAAGGTATTTATCGAGAATTATTTATTTAATTTAAAATCCATTTTCTAAACTTACGTTTTCTAACCTTTCGTCTAGAATAAAGCGAAGTATTTGCAACAAACTTCAAAAATTCTAGTGGAGAATTATGGCTCTGATATACCCAATAATATTAAAGAGTTAGTAGCCTTGCCTGGTGTTGGACCTAAAATGGCTCATATTTGTATGTCTACCGCTTGGCAACAAGTCACTGGCATTGGTGTAGATGTTCACGTGCATCGCATTTGCAATCGTTTAAATTGGGTGCCGAAAGCCACTAAAGAACCCGAGCAGACGCGCTTAGCTCTAGAAGCCTGGTTACCGCAACAATTGTGGGGTGAAGTGAATCATCTATTAGTAGGCTTCGGACAAACCGTCTGTACTCCGGCAAAACCAAAATGTGAAAATTGCTTAAATAATAATATTTGTCCTTCAGCGCCAAAGAGTGCCAAAAATATCAATAAAAATGAAAACAATGAAATTAATCCGCAATTAGCTGAACTCTTGAATAAAGCCGAGTTCAAAAAATCAAAAACTATATTAAAAAATTGTTAAGGTATAATACATAAAAATAAAAGGAAATCTTTATACTCTCACGCGTTACATGCGTAACATTAATACACAATTTCTTAAGGATCCTATTTAAATTAAACTTATATGAAATTGCATTTTACGCTCTTTCCTCCAACTGAACCCAATAATCCATAGGAGAAGTAATTAAGCCGCTTAAATTAGTTGATAAATCCGGTAATACGTCACCATCGGCTAAAATAAAATTGAAGTTTTGACAAAGAGCGGCAGTTACCAAAAATAACATATTTCTGGCAAATGTTTCTCCGGCACACAAACGCTTTCCAGCTCCGAAAGGAAACGAAACATCTTTTTTTAAGCACAGATGTCCCTTATCGTCCAAAAAACGTTCGGGTCTAAAATTCTGTGGATCACCCCAAACCCGTTTATCATTGTGATATGCATATAGAGCAGGGACAATTAGTGTATCCTACAAAATATTTACGGGTATTAGACGAACGTTCTTTTTTTCAAGTTTATATACTTAAATAGCTACCTTGGGTATCTTATAACCCATTAGTTCAGTATCGACCAAAGTCTTGTGCGGTACACTAGACGGTACTAAAGTTTCTATTCTTAAAATCTCTCTTATCGTTGCTTCCGTATAGGACATAAATTGGCGATCTTCTAAAGTAGGCAAACGTCCCGCCCCGACCACTTCGTCTATTTCCTTTTGTATGCGTTTTTGAACTTCAGGATATAAGAGAAAATACTGAACCAAAAATGATAGTTGCACCCCCACCGCGGTAAAGGCCGGGAAAGTGAAGTCAATTAAACTCAATATGAATTGATTGCGTTTGAAAGATGTATCCTCATTGCCTTCAAGATCGGCCTCTCGCATTTCTCTTATGTACTTATCCAGAAAATTGCGTTCGTAACTTTCATCATAAGTTTTAATATGACGATCGACAATCTTTTCGAAATATTTAAACAAGAATATATTCGATTCAGTCAATTTGTTATAACTGCTCCAATTTGGAAAGATATGCTTTATCCATGGCATAATTGATAGCATTTTCCCATAATCGTCTGCGGTACGTTGAAATTGTAAGCCGTAGCGTATTAATTCCCATAGATCGGCTTGTTCGGAGCGTGGTGTTCGCTCATTGCATACAATATGAAAAACGCTGTTGGCCACAAAGGGACTAAAGAAATTAGGTAAACATATACGCATACCGCTCTCCTTACAGTACGGTTTCTCATGATCAAATTTTGGTCCATTTCTAATCAAATCCAACATATCGTTTAGTTCCTCTTGAATGACCAGTTCAAGTTCCATAAAGCGTCGACCAAAACCAAAGTCCCTTAAATAACGTAATACAAAACGTCTTTGCTCTTTCCAGAATTGACCTTCCCGAAAGAAGATACCTAAATACAGGAAAAAGGAAATACGGCAGGAGACAAAAACATTTAAATGATTTTTATAATGAAAGACATTTAATAATTCACGAGACCAAAATTAAGTAACATATTTATACGAATACAAGCTCACACCCTACATATATATATATAGAAATGGACTTTGTTTCTCTCTCAATCATTTTATTAATTAAATTTTATTTCTTTGTCTATGATAGAGCGTAAGTTCATTAAGTTTCATTGAACTTTTTAATCTGGAAATGCACGTGCGGATGAAACGAAGCAATCATTAATTTAAAAGACAGCACTACTTAAGCATTATGTTCCCCAACGAATTTTTAGAATTTTGGCGCATACTTTTAAACTTTATTTTCCTTCTTCTTTTTATTTTTGTGCGACCTTGAAAATGAAAGTTCTGTAAAAACGCGAACACTGGCCGCTAGATTATATGGCATTCTACTCAACTCAGTAAATCATCTTTTGTTGATTAGTCAACTCGCGGAAGAAGCGGGAAAGAGGAAGCTTTGCGAGACGTAGCTCAAAGAAGGTTCTTCCAATAATGGAATTGTGAACAGCAAATTATCTTTACGTCAATGTAAGTAGACATGATTACAACACATTTTAATCCAGTTTTTAAGAGTCGTCATAACATTATTGTTATTCTCAGGATTGCTTCCTTTTCTTTTTTTTACACTTTCATTGAGGTCAGTGTGTTTTTCGAATACTGATTAAAACAATTTTTTTAATTATTATTGATAACAAAATGCAAAAACTCAATTAAGATAGGGTTCGCTTGGGAACGAATTTTTAATCCTCTTCCCGGCTTCATATAAATCCTACTCATAACATATTTGCGACTGTGCGAGCACAGTCTTCGCACGAATCTTCGATATTTGAAATGACATTTTTTCATATAATGTTCCATACTGTAGTCCCTGTTTACGGGTTTTCAAACGATTTGCCAGAATCAGTTGATTCTCTTCAAAAGGGATTAAGGGAACGAACTTTAAAGCGTTAAAGAATAACTTCAAATAAGCAAAAAAAAAAACAAAATCAATTCCTTTGATGGCCGAATTTTAATTTTTTTTGTTTTTGTTATTTTCTCAGCTTAAGAGGAAAAAGAGAAAATTTCTACCAGGCAGTCTTCTAACACTTTTATGGTGATTTTAACAGACACAAGACGAGCACAGTTAAATCGAATCCGTTGTTCACCGCAATCAAAATGACGTATACTTCATGGGACGTTCAAAACTTGTTTTTTTTCGCTATAAACACGGAAGAAAGCTGAAGAAACTTTTGTAGTTGGGAAAATTTTAAGCCGAATTTTATAAAAATTTTGGAAAATATTTACGGAAAATGTTTATATACTTTACAACTATGTCTCTCTTCAAACCATCGTAATTGTTAATTTAAACCAAATTTCAATTCGTTTGTTTAACTTGTTGTCAGCTCAAAAGATCGAACTACGTATAGCATAGGCATAAACAGGTTGATATGGTTACGGAATCTTGCCCTATACACATATATATGTATTTCATATTTTATAGTATTGGTGTGATAAATATTTCTACCTATTGTATGTCGGCCTGTATGTAGCTGTATTTCAGCGATTAACAATTTTGGATGATACAGCCAAACCGCCTAATAGCGGAGCTTACTTAAGGTAGATAATGACCTGAAATAATTATTCATGGGAACACCCAGAAACTTGAAAAGGGAATGTGTAGACGATGAAAGTTACACCACTTGCCAGGGTAACTTAATTTGCTGACATATCTGACCTGAGCAGAAGGCGTGTCTTTTGAATCGTCGACAAAGCCGGCCGGCAAGAAGTTTTCGTCCTCCTGACGCAAAAGATGGAGACTGATAAAACACATAACCGGGTTGTTTGAAACTATAAGGGTTTTGCACAGCGTTTAGACCGAGAATGAGAGTACGTCTACCCAGTAATCTCTTACATTCTACGGCAAGGACGTATCGATGGCCAAGAAGACTGCACAGCGAAGACACAATACAGAGATGTTACAATTTTTTTCGACGAAGGGGAGGATGCATTCTCCCCGCAATCTGAGTTGTCCCACGAAAGCGGCGCAATGGTGACGAAGTAATTCGAATTCATTCGAGTCCTGCACAATAAAGATAGTTACAAACGACTTCCATTTTTGTTACATTTATCCACGAAGTCTAGATGGTCTTCGCCACGTGATCTGTGTTGTGCTCTGACAACGACACAACAGCGAGAAAACAGCCGTTTACAGTGAGGATCATTATAAACGAGTTCCATTGTTTCCACGTTTATCCACGAAGGTGAGAGGCAGTCCGCCCTGTCATCTGCATCGGTCTACGGCAGTAAGTAGATAGTGACAAGCAACATTCGAATTCATACAAGCCCTGTAAGCTAAAGATCTTTATAAACGAGTTTAGTTTCTTCCCATACTTCGGATGAAGAGTAGTAAACCTAAGTACCTTGAAATCGTTTAAAAGCTGCCCTACTCACATTAGCAATGAAAAAGTGATACTGTTTCGATATTTTGATCAAAGGTACAAACTCTTAAAATAGTGGGTCCTGTTACTTTTCGGATCCGGAAAAATACATAAAAATCGACATATTTGGCACAAGTGGATTTTAAAAGGCATACCTAAAAGTTCGTCATTTGGACCCCTCATCTGAGCGACATAAATCCCGGGACGACCATCAAATTCACTTCTGGTTAAAACTTCACGCACCCCATCAGCATTATGAACGGCAACAACCGGAAAAGGGCCCATATGAAAACCCACAATGTCTGACTTATACCATTTGCAAAATTTTAAAACACCTTTATGTAGGAATTTGAAATCGGAGAGCATCATAAACAAATAACTGCCAAATAGCGGTATACGTGGTGGTCCTGAGGGTTGCAAAAAAAAAAAAAAATGAGCTCATGATTAGAAATATCAGAATGCAGAATTATGTCGAATCAACTGACCGGGCGGAAATCCTTTTGGCCGATAGAAAGCATATTTGTAAGAAAGATATAAACACGCACACGCACAAGTTGTTAATAAAATTTCGGTTAGCATTGTATAAAACACACACAGGAATATTTGAAATCAATTACAATTTTCTCTATTTATTATTTGTATTTTTATTTAATTAAATAAATTCCAGTTGCACTTTATTGTTGAACGGGCGCGTTTAATTGCTTAACTGAACTGATTTCTTAAATACGAATGCATTAAGTGGCGAACGACGATTTATTGAGAGATAAGTTATAATTATAAGGCATCAGTATCAGCAATTGCGTGCTACTCGTAATCATAGCGTAATTAATCGCATTCATATTTATGCAGATCAATATAAGCTACGATCGCTGTTTAATTGAAAAGAACATTTTTTTAAGGTAAACTTAGTAACAGAATCACTGAGCATCCCTTTAGGTTAACAACAACAAAGTAATCCAATGTTGTCTCTGAATCATTCACACGACGATAGTTTGCACTTACGTCTGTCTGCGAATATTTGCATTTGTTTTTAATTCAAAAGCAAATAACGACATTTCGTCACTCCCTCTCACATTATCAGGAATGTCTTTATGTAAATTTCACTAATCGAATAAATGTATAAAATAAGCTAAAAAGTTGGTGAGCATCGTATGGATGTTTATTACTACAAAGCCAAGTGTTGAGTGTTTATTTTACTGCGCCTAAGCTTAATAATCTTCTTATTATACTTATTAATAATTATTTATTCAATTAATCGCAACAGCTCGGAGTTTTTTTTATAAATTTTACTCGATATTAGGGCGATACTCGATTAAGACGATTAAGTTTTGTATTTGAAAGGATTAATTCGTAGCGCTATTACAATATCGTTACGTTACCTTACGTATTAAGAATAATTACCCACTTTTGTTATTGTTATGCAATCAAAAATCTGTTTGATCGATTCGGATGTGCTGTCAATTGTTGTCGTCGATTGCTTTTATGAAAGTATTATTGATTCAAAAAACGGTGAACAATTTAAATAAATAAATAAAACGTTTAAATAATACAAAATAAACAATTTACAAAACAAGCCATCATTCATTAAATATTGTGCGCAGCACACGCTGCATTAGAATTTTCCTATTGACATTAACAAGATTACTATTATTTTTTATTGTTGTTTACGAATTGTATTAAAACTCTGAGGCTTTTACATCTCTTTTATCTTGTTTGGAATCCAACTTGTTGTTGAAGTTATTGTCCAACTACCCAATTATTATTCCCAACTATGCTACACGACAACTTTGCTGCCCATATTCGCCAAATCAAAGGCGAGAGACCGTGCACTACGTAATATCTTTACTGCCCACCTATCCAGACCGGAAGATCAAGGATCATGCTTTTCACTAACTCTATAAAAGATCTCCTCTGCTAACATTTTCGAAGCAAATAATCAGAGATCGTGGTTTTTTGGTGCCTTCATATCTTCTCTTGACACTTCCCTGCCTAAAGATTAGAGACAGCGTTTTTCACTTACACTATTAAAAAGCTTGTTACACATTTACGAAAAAGAAAATCGGATACGTGGCTTTCATCCACACATTTATCATACTTTCATCGTCTCTGCGGGCACTTCCCGGTCGGGAAATCGAAGATCGTGCGTATCATTTACCCTATGTAATATCTTTATTGAAGACGTTTGCACAACTGATCTTATCAGTTTTTCACTTTATTTCTTTCTCGTTTTTTTTTTTTTTGTTTATTTATTCATTAACACATCAAATTCGGCTAAAATTAATGAACAGCCGAATTAAATTAAGACTTAGATATATGCCAATTATTATTAACGACTACTATAAAGAAAAGAAAAGTTAAGAAAAAAAAGTCGCTCACACATGAAACGCATATAAAATAAGTTACAGTCGAATTTAATTGACTTTTGAAAGTAAGCCTTATACTAATTAATACTACAAATTGGTATAAAGTACATAAGGAGAAGCAAATGAAATGAAATAAAAATATAAATATAAAAAACACACAACACAATATAATAAATAATATTTCATGTATAAATAAATAAGAAAGAAAAAAAGAGGGCATATAAACAGCTAGCACAGAGGCACACGCACAACCGGTAAAGATCCAAGTTGCAAGTGAAGTCCTAAGCCATCGCAAACATGCAAAGGCATGGCAACCCATGCGCTAAGGAACACTCATTAATTTTTGAATCATAACGAGATGTTAAAATGAAAAGTTGGTTTAAATACGACAAAGGCAAATCGCGCGTATTAAGCAAAGTCGTTCCGATAGACTTTAAGGGATCCGATATTGAGACTAAGTGATAGACATCATTTAGGTCTCTGAAATCAATTCTAAACGGGTTAAGCAGTTCATAATTGTATTTACATTGATTCAGCTAAATAAAAATAGAGTGCCTTGAGATGCGGTTAGGGACATTAAAGCTTATCTCAACAAGTAATGCGGGCGAGTCATTGAAACCATTTATTACTTTGATTAAGAAGGAAAGCCCAAGAACAAATCTACGTTTCCCAAGTGACGGTAGGGATAATAGAAGCAATCTATTTTCATAAGGAGGCAAAGAGACAAGTGGTCACCAATCCAAATTTCTAAGGACAAACAGCAACGATTGCTTTTGAACTGATTCAATTAAATCTATATACCAACTATAGGAGGGGACCACACAACCGAGGCATACTCACTATGTACACACATGTATAGCCTTTCTGTAGTGTAATGATTCTTCAGCTGTTTAGATCATCTCTTAGCTTTACATAAATAAAGCTCAATAAGCAAATTAAAACGTAATCTTTGGGCGAATAGATCCCCGAAACCGAAAAACGAATCGACGTTTCGCAACGTATATGAATCAATGAAAAAATCAGTACCGAATGCCTTCCGTTTTAAGAAAGAAAGCTTCTTGCATTTACTGCCTTGAGGGACGCTAGACGTCACGGGCAATTCCTTCGAGGTGATGAAATTAAACAGAACCTTAAAAGATTTGTTATGCAGACAAGAGCTTATCCATTTCACTATGCCAGCCGCATAGAGTTTGAAGATCAATAAGTTATGATTAACTAAATCAAATGCTTTGCTAAAATCGGTACATACGACGTCTGTACGAGAGCCACTAGAAAAAGCCTTGAAAACCACGCTGGAATGGAGAAATATAAGATTCGATAGAAAAAGCTAAACACTGAGTAGCAATTCACTCCAACAACTTAGGTAAGGCACTCAGCTTGGCGATGCCTCTATATTTCTCAACTCGATGTCTATTTCCACATCAGTGGACGGGAATAAGGAAATTACTGTTCCAACACAAAAGGAAAGCACTTCGAGGCCGAGGTTGTTTGAAGGAAATGAATGCAGAGGTAGCTAAGTTTAACACATTACAGAACGAAGGCACTACGACAATATTGGTAGTATATTTCTTGCTGAGAAATCGAGCTTAATGCGTGAAAGATGAGATTTAAGCAGTAACATAAAATCACAATGTTTTTGGAAGAAAGTTGGGCTTACCACATAGAACGGACCATCATATCTGCAATAAAAGGAAATACAAATTGCTGGAAGATACGGATCCTCAGAAAAACTAAAAGGTGGACAGCGATTTTCAACTATCTCCCGGAAAATGGCAAAGCAAAAATCTGCCATTACAGTTAGAGGTACGGTTGTATTGACGCGAAGCTCTATCAGATGTTAATGTGTCACTGTAACACCAAGTGACTTGTAGCAAATTGAAGTCCACCAACACTATGACTTATATCAGTAGATTAAGTCTCTTCGCCCACATCACAAATAAACGCAGCATGTTTCTTATAAATAGAGTTGCCCTCGTTTGGGGGCAACTCATAGGAGCAAGTTACATACAACCGTTTATTGGCAATTTTCGCCCGAATGGCAATAAATTCAACGTCGGAAGGAGTAGGAAATTCAATTGAATAGGACCGGACTTCAGCAGATATGACAACTAACACACCACCAATGCGATCCAATCGATCTTTTCTAAAAACCTGGAAAAAATTGTGAAAAAGTTCCGAAGAATGTAAATCAGACTTTAACCAAATCTCAGAGAAGGCCAAAAAGGAAAACTGCGTCCTCACTGCATTTAGGAAAGTAGAGCGAATTTTTGAGGTTAGGCCCACAACATTTTACACGCTTTCTCTAACCATAATATCCTTCGTTCAGAATGACTTGTTCAGGGCAGCACTGAAGTTCCGTGGGCGACGGGACTTTGAACGAAGCAATCACTCTTACTTCTGATGATTTCAACTTAAAAACTTAATTCTGCGTTATGAAATTTCATGCTGTCTACTACCGTACAGGCAGCGAGACTGAAAATAAACGCCGCTTTGCTCGGTAGAACGGAAACTAATTCATTTCTTCCACTATTATTAAGAAACGAAGATTGCGCCCCAGCAACGCTTGAGAAGAACCCAACTTGACTAGTTGTGTGAGTCTTTGCCGACATCTCGATTGCGTTATAATGAGACGCGCAGTAGCGTGCGCCACAGGACGCGGCTACTGAGCCTTCACCTTCAACTTGAAACACACACGGGATACTTTTTACAGCTTCAGCATACGTACCCTTAGGGGCCTTGGGTAATATTTCTAACCGCTTGTGTTTAGGTATTGCCGACTAATCCATTTGGTCCAGAACTTTATCCGTTAAAAGTGGTCTTGGCGAAGACAAATCGTCCAGTTCAATGGACAGCAGATCGACGGCTGGCGCACAGTTCGATCCAGTAACCGGAGATGCGATACTCTACGAGGTCGGAATTCGAACATTAACCGGTCCCGGTGAAGGGGGCACCACACTACGTGTTGTACGGTCGCCTTTTGCTCGAGGTGAATCATGACCTTTTAACAGTTCTCGACTAACTTCAAAGATAATAGTTTTCCTGTTCGCTTGTTATTATTACCTCTGATCATACTTGTATTCTTAAAAAGAACAGCAAGTCTTCTTCTATATATAAAATACCTTTGCATTATAGCGAAATGAAAGCAAAATCTTTGGAAAATAAATTTTAATTGAAAAATCCATTTTTTTTTTTTTATTCCTTTTATACAATTTCCGGTTTAGTTTCAAGATTAATATACTTTACAAGCGGAGCTAATCTTAATTTCTTTCTTCGAGTTGTAGCCAAAAATCTTGTGGGGAAACAATAAAGCCACTTAAATTGCTAGATAATTTGGGCAATTTATCGTCCTCTGCTAAAGTAAAGTGATAACTTTGACATAGAGTGGAGACCATAAGGAACAAAAGATTTCTAGAAAATGTTTCACCAGCACAAAGGCGCTTACCTGTAAGTTATTCAGGGGAAATGTATATATATTTTTTATTCATCTTGTCAACTTACCAGCGCCAAACGGTAAAGAAACGTCTTTTTTTAGACAGAGTTCACCCTTTTCATTTAAAAAACGTTCCGGTCTAAAAACTAATGGATCTCCCCAAACCTTTGCATCATTATGATAAGCATATAGACTGGGTATAATGATAGTATCCTTGAATTATGGGATTGAATATAGGAATTTGAAAATCGAATATAAATTCCGGAAATACCTTCGGAATATTATAACCCATTAGTTGAGTGTCTTCTAAAGTCTTATGCGGCACATTCGAAGGTACTAGCGTTTCTATTCTCAAAATCTCTCTTACCGTAGCTTCAGTGTAAGGCATAAATTGGCGATCATCTACTGTTGGCAAACGATTCCGACCAACAATCTCATCTATTTCTGTTTGTATAGATTTCTGTATTTTAGGATTCACAAGAAAATGTTGCATTAGAAAGGAAAGTTGAAAACTAATGGCTGTTATAGATGGCAATACGAAATCAATTATGTTCATTATTAATTGATCGCGTCTGAAAGTCGTATCAAGGTTGCCGTTCGACTCAGCTTTGAGCATTTCTTTTATGTAAACATCCAAAAAGTTACGTTCATAGTTTTCATCATAAGTCTTAAGATGATAATCAATAATTTTGCTGAAAAACTCATGCATGTATAGATTCGATTCTCTTAAAACATTATAACCGCTCCATTTTGGAAAAACGTATCTTATCCATGGCATAATACTTATCATTTTTCCGTATGCATCAGCATTTCTTTGAAACTGAATAGTAATTCGGATTAATTGCCAAAGATCGTTTTGGTCGGAACGTGAAATTCGTTCGTTATAGGCAACATGTAAAAAACTGTTAAGACCCGAGTGTCCAAAGAAATACGGTAACAAGACACGTTTGCCATCTTTGCTGACGAAAGGCCTTTCGTGTTCGTAACGGGGTCCACTTCTGATTAGATCCAACATATCATTTAACTGATCTTGAATAAATGATTCAAGCTCAGCGAAACGTCGACCAAAACCGTAATCTCTTAGGTAACGTAAAACAAAACGCCTTTGTTCCTTCCAAATGGAACCCTCTTGAAACAAAACTCCTAAAAAGGATAAACAACGTGAAGGGATTGGCTACTTAACATTGAAACATTCAAGTTGAGTGCAAACCTTCTAACTTTTCCTCAGGATGACGCATTAGAACCAAATAAGCTGGAACACGTCCATCATACCTGGCATCCCGTAACACTTGACGTATTGCCTCAGCATTGTGAATAACCACAACTGGAAACGAACCCATATAAAATCCTACAATGTCAGATTTATACCATTCGCTAAATTTTAACACACTTTTGTACGAATACTTGAAATTCGTCAGCATCATAAACAAATAACTGCCGAAGAAAGGTAGGCGCGGTGGTCCTTAATAGAAACGAAAACGAATGTTTAATATAACATAAAGCATCATTTCTATCTTTTTTTCTTATTTTTCTTATTTTGTGTACCCCAAACTAACCGGGTGGAAATCCTTTCGGTCTATATACAGCATATTTGTAGAGAGAGTAAAAGCCGAGGCAAACACAGAGTAACGACAGTATTTGTGTAAAGAATTCCATTCTTTTTTTCGCGTCTGTTTAGAACGTCTTAGCTCAAACTGAAGACTAAAGACAGTTGATCGCAGCTCAAACAATTGATCACTAGTTAGTTTTTCGATCTTATTGTATACCCAAATGCTTTTAGAATGAGATATAAACAACAAGTGAAGCAGAATTTGCATTCAACTAATCAAATGCAAAAACTAATTCATTATACGTGAGGCGAATTGATGGATTATATTGAAAACTCTCCATTTCATCATTGTTGCTTCGCTAACCATTCTAGCAATATGATGTTATGGATTATAACTTATTCAAATCAAGTGCTTACATTTAGCCTGAACAAAACGGCGTTTCATCGTACTCATCACTTTCAGATTTATGAGAATTTTTTTATTCGTCGATTATTTGCAATCGATAAAATTTTTAAGCAAATTAGTCAACCCCATCAACGACTGCAAAGGCAACTCCATCTCCCCAAAATGACTTTCCTGTTTGAAAATGGCAATATAATGTAAGTCGAAGTTCTCTGGTTAAACTTCACTATTGAAATCATACTTCAGAAATGTAAAACAAGTAAGAACATTATAGTTTGCCAAGGCCGACCGTTAGATACCTTGCAGCACTCCTAGTACTGGTATTCACTCGATTCGTAATAAGACACCAACGGCATATTTCTCATCAAGTTTCGCATGTTTGATAATGTCCGAAACATTACATGGCGTGAACTGAATTTTGCAAATTTCATGTACTTCCCAAAGTTTTGCAATTTTTTAGTTTTCGTCATAAAAGACTTTCTCTCCGTATAAAGACTTGCTTTTCGTGATAACCCCTATAAACAATGCGTTAATGTCTACAAAATAGATCTACGCAATCCAAATTTCCTACAGTTAATTTTTTGCTAACATGCTAAAATATTAAAAATAGAACTATTTCTATTCATGAGAAACCTTGTAAGAAATGTGGTGCTAGAAATAGACCCATACGGTTCAGATTTGTTCCACTTAATTTAATGTCAAATAACGACTATGAACAAATTTTCAACACGAAATAATGAGAATTGCATCTGTTTACCATATAAAGATTCAGTTTCCGTAGAAACGAAGGTTACGTGAGAAAGTGCTCAAAAAATTGCCACAGCCGAACCACGTTTTCGCTACAAATTTGGAATGTCGATATATTAATACTTAGCGAGTCTTGTCGAAAAATTCCGAAAATTGGAATTTTTTTCCATATAATGATTTTTCAAAATAAAGCGGTGTATGGGAAGTGGTTAGAAATTCCGTTTGGTGGATACGTACGTCGGCACAATCTGAATATAAACTTGCGCCACAAGAAATATACAATACATGCTCTATATACTTTAATATATTCGTCCAACTACCAACTTAAAATGGGAGGTAATAAGTGCAACACATGCAATTAAATATATTCGCAAAAATTTATTATAACGAATTTTATTTATTCACTAGTAGGAATAAAAACTTGATAAATTTATATGCGAAAAACAAAATTCTTACTTCACAAGTCTATGAGATATCTTCATTTGCCCATTAGCAACGCTTGTCCACTCGATTTATGCGAAGGTTATGACGATCACAAATTTTGTAAATCATTTATGTACAAACAAAATTTACTGATGATTCTTACTCACGTACGAGCATCCACATACTACGAGAAGAGTGAGCGGAATAAAAATCAACTCAAAGATTATAGAAAATTATGCATTGCTCTAATGAAACAACAATTTTAAAAACTAGTTGCTATTTACTTAAAGGTAAAACCCTTTAACATATTGAACGCACGTAGTTAAGTTGTTTCATTATGTTCTGGCAGTTCCCCTAGGATTAGTTTCCGCCATTGCTCTTTGTATGCAGATTGATCTTGTATCAACTTTGTTAAAACGCCTTCGATCTCTTTTTCTGTATGGTCCGCTGTACTTATGCAGAAATGTTCCCATTCTTTACCTTCAACTGTATCTTTAAGAGTCACACCCTGTACGTGATCAGGCAAAGCTTGAAGATTAATATAAGTTTCTGTTAGTTCCTTTGACTGCCGTACACTGTAAAGAACATGCACAACGATATTATTAGACAAACTTTAATTGAGCAATGGCCAAGCCATACTGATCCATTTTCATCATGTTTTCGAGGTCCTTTTTCTCTTGTTCTTCTAATTCAGATTCCAATTCTTGTATTTGCTCTTGCTTTTTGGTCACGTTCGCTTGCTTTTCTTCTACCAATTTTTCTAATTCCCGGTTATAAAGTTCCAAATTTTTCACATGTTCTTTATAAATAGATAATGCGTAAAGTTTTTCATTCAAAATTCTTTTTATTGCAGCTATAAGAGAAACAATGGTGTTTAAGCCAATTAACAATAAAAAACACAACAAATGACCAGCCTACCAAAATTTTGGAAGTACTTCTTACATTTCCCAACAATATTTGCTTCGAGTTTTACAATTTGACATTCCTCATATTCCATTCGTTTGAAACGTTTAACAACGTCACATTTGTTCATAACTCTTCTCAAATTAAATTTATATATAAATTATATTTTAATGCGCAAACCATCTGCCGCCTTTTAATATTAAAACAAAAAACCTAATTTGTTGGCAGCGTAGCATTTAGAATTAACGTCATTCATAAAGAGATAATAGCCTAAAGATTTAAAATCAACTGTTATACACAACAGATGGAAAAAACAAATATTTTTTTGAAATATCAAAAGTACAAAAAAAATAAGAAGAACAGTAATTTATACATGTCAGTTAAAAAGTGGCAGATTTCACAATCTGTCGAAGAATTAGAAGAGTCGCGAAAGTATTAGCAGAAATCCAAAGAGTTCGAAGTTATTTCGCAAAGGCAACAATAATTTAAAAATGTTCCAAGTTTTCGATATGTCAAAGGAATCATGTAAAAAATTCGAACAGTTGGAAAACTAAACAGCGCAAAAATTTAATTCAATCTATAATCAAAGGGGACGAATGTCTCATTTCCGATATCCACAAATAAGATAAACTTTCGTTATTGAAGTGAAAACTGAAGTCAGTTTAAATACTTAAAAGTCGAAATATAAACTTTTTTTTTGGGATATTGGCTGATATGGACTATGTTAATAAATTTGTGGCCGAAACATAATTTAAAAGGAAAAAACATTGTGATATTTTCCTCTCCTCTCTCTCTCTCTCTCACTCTTTGCTGTGAGGAAAGAACAAATATTTTTTGTTTTGATATTTTCCCAAAAATGTTTAATTCGGCGTTTAACTTTGCGTTATCAATTGTGTTTTCTCGCTGAAGATTCAGAATCATATAAGGCCGACTCCAATCTCACGAATTACAATATAAAGTAGCGGTAAGTAATTTGCCTCGTATCTTGTAAATTGTCTGTCGCATATGATAAATTGTTTGGAACTATTTATTCTCTAGAAATGAATCAATTTCGACTGTTGTTAAAACGATTTTTGTTTCTGATTTTTAAACTAAATTTCGATAACCTTATTAGAATTCATCGATAGCATTACTAGTAAAGTTTGCAAAACGTATGTATTCCCATACGTTCCATACACAACATTGTAAAATGTCGTGAAACACTGTGTGCATAACAATTATATATAGTTTGATTGTAGAGTAATTTTTAATGATTGTAAATTTTATGTTTAATAATTAAGAGAAAAAGTTTAAATATTAGGCTGTTTAATGGATAGTGATAGTGATGATGAAGGATCCGTCGGTAATGATAATGGGGGGGGAGGTAGTAACGGTGGTGGTGGCTTCGGTATAGATTTGACAGGTATATTATTTGGAAATATCGATTCTGAAGGCAAATTAATAGACGATGATGATGCCGGGGCAGCTTTTGATCCAGAAATGCGGGAGCACTTAAGCTCCCTGGCCAAGTAGATTTAAATAATTGATATGAAAATTTATTTTTTACACACATTTTGAAATTTCAGGATGGGTCTGAATACCATTTTAAGTGAAGTCATTGATCATGAGGAAATGGAAAACGATGATGATGAAAAGAAATCTATAAGCGATTTTGATGCTTTAAAATCTGGTAATTTGGATTCCAAGGAAGATGAAGATGAAGCTAGTGGTGAGATTGCCAAAGATGCGAACGCAATTGATTATTCTGATATAACTGAGTTATCGGAAGATTGCCCTAGAACGCCGCCTGTTTCAGCAGAAGAGACTGTCGTCACTACTGAAAGTAATATAGAAGACTTGGAAGATGCTATACCAGCATCTAAGGTCGAAGCACGTTTAATTTCTACTCAACCGTTAGCTAAAGATGATAAAGAACTAATGCCTCCTCCGAGTGCACCTGCTCGAGGTCAGTCTTCTACTGCTAATCCCGAAGCCAACAGTAAGCAAGATGCTGCTGAAACTAGCTCAAATAATGATGTGCAGCCGGAGAAGCCTCTTGAACGAAAACTTGATACCCCATTGGCGGATATGCTGCCAACAAAATATGCTAACGTTGACGTGCGCGAATTATTTCCAGATTTTCGTCCTGATAAAGTTTTAAGATTTTCTCGTTTATTCGGACCTGGCAAACCTTCAAGCTTGCCGCAAATTTGGCGTCATGTGAAGAAACGTAGGCGTAAACGTAAACAATCCTATGATCATAAATTTTTTAATTTAAATTCGGATTCTACCAGTGATTCGGAGGAGCCACGTAAAAAAGGTTTCGGTTTACATTACGGTCCCGATCCAACTCCAACACAATGTATGTCAGATGATGAGGATAAATTATTAAGCATTTTTAAAGACGAAGATATTAAGCAAGAGGGTCCAGAAAGTGGTGACAGTGGCGATAATAAGCCAAAAATAGCAGATTGGCGTTACGGACCCGCACAAATCTGGTACGATATGCTAGATGTTCCAGATTCCGGAGAAGGTTTTAATTACGGATTCAAAAAGAGGCAAGGACAGAAAAATACGAAGGGTTCCATGAAGAGCAAGAAAGAAGAAAAAGAGTTAAAGGCACCAGTTGATAATGGAGGTATAGCCGAAGATGCCTTCCTCATGGTATCTCAATTACATTGGGAAGACGAAGTAGTGTGGGATGGTAATGAAATTAAAGCTAAAGTTTTGCAAAAATTGAACTCGAAAACAAATGCTGCTGGTTGGTTGCCATCAAGTGGATCCCGCGCATTTACGCCTGCTGGCAAAACATTGCCGGTAACTAGTGCAACAACCGGAAAAATGAGTGGAAGTAACAATCCACCCTCTAGTAAGCAAAAGGCGAATCAAAAGTTAGTACACTTTATTTAACATGAGTAATTTCTATTTTTAAATTTACGTGTCTCATGCAGTTTACCACCTAAGGTTCCTGAGGTTGTGGACGATACATGGTATAGCATATTCCCGGTGGAAAATGAAGAGTTGATTTACAGCAAATGGGAAGACGAAATTATATGGGACGCAGAGCAAATGACTAAGATACCGAAGCCAAAGGTTTTAACGCTGGATCCGAATGATGAGAATATTATTTTGGGTATTCCGGATGATATTGATCCTTCTAAGATTAATAAGAATACGGGACCACCACCAAAAATAAAAATCCCACATCCACATGTTAAAAAATCGAAAATCCTTCTTGGTAAGGCTGGTGTTATTAATGTTTTAGCCGAAGATACTCCCCCGCCGCCACCGAAAAGTCCTGATCGAGATCCCTTCAATATTTCAAACGATAGGTAAGACGCTAAAAAGAAATCAAATCCGAAATTATAAAATTATTTTATGTTCTTTCAGCTATTACATGCGCAAGACTGAACCTGCCCTACGTTTAAAAGTTGGCGCCAGTTTTATGCCCCATTCTACACCCGTGGTTGAACTGCGATCACCTTTTATACCGGTTGGAAGGGAAAGATTTGATTTATTATCATTCAATAATTTTATAATCTTAATTTATTTAGACTCATATGGGTCCTATAAAGTTGAGATCTTTTCATCGCCCTCCTCTGAAAAAGTATTCGCATGGCACTTTGGCTCAGCCCGTAGCCCATTCAGTGTTGCCTTTACTTAAGAATATTAACAAAAAGGCTAAACAGCGTGATATGGAACGTATCGCGTCTGGTGGCGGAGACGTTTTCTTTATGCGTAATCCTGAGGACTTGAGTGGCAAAGATGGCGACATTATTTTAGCTGAATTCTGTGAGGAGCATCCTCCTCTAATGAATCAGGTGGGATTTATTTTAAAAAGACCTAAATAGTACATCTTTCGCAGTGTGTTTGTTCTTAACTCGCAGGTTGGCATGTGTTCAATAATTAAAAACTACTATAAACGTAAAGCGGGCAAAGACACTAACGGTCCGCAAGGCTTTAAATATGGCGAGGTGGCTTTAGCTCACACCAGCCCTTTCTTAGGCATATTACATCAGGGACAGTGCATACAAGCTTTGGAAAACTGCATGTATCGCGCACCTCTTTATCCTCACAATGTTAATATCACCGATTTTCTAATTATACGTACACGCAATAATTATTGGATTCGAGAATTCAATGCCTTATTTACCGTAGGACAAGAGTGTCCTTTGTATGAGGTACCAGGCCCCAATTCAAAGAGGGCCAATAATTTTACAAGAGACTTTCTACAAGTAACTAATTTTTACGACTCATTGTTTGATTGTAATAATATTTCAATGCAATCCATTATAGGTTTTCATTTATCGCCTATTCTGGAAAAGTAGAGATGAACCCCGACGTATACGTATGGACGATATAAAACATGCATTTCCTGCCCATTCGGAAAGTAGTATACGTAAGAGATTAAAACAATGCGCAGATTTCAAGAGAACAGGAATGGATTCAAACTGGTGGGTTATTAAACCAGATTTCCGTTTGCCTTCGGAAGAAGAAATACGTGCGATGGTTTCACCCGAACAGTGTTGTGCTTACTTCAGTATGATTGCAGCCGAGCAAAGATTAAAGGTTTGAAAAATTTTTCAACATATGTCATTTTTCAGAACTTAATAAGAAATCACTGTATAAATGTTCCTAGGATGCCGGTTACGGTGAGAAGTTCTTATTTGCTCCTCAAGATGACGATGACGAGGAAGCCCAGTTGAAATTGGACGATGAAGTCAAGGTAGCTCCATGGAACACGACCAGGTGATAAAAAGTATATGTTTTATCCGTGAAAATTTTATTTATTTATTTTTTCATATTTAGAGCCTACATGCAAGCTATGCGTGGCAAATGTTTACTGCAACTAACTGGACCTGCTGATCCCACCGGGTGTGGTGAAGGGTTTTCGTATGTGAGAGTACCCAATAAACCAACACAAACTAAGGAGGAACAGGAATCTCAGCCGAAACGTACTGTAACCGGTACTGATGCCGATTTACGTCGTCTACCTTTGCAAAGAGCCAAGGAGCTTTTACGTACTTATAAAGTACCTGAAGAAGAGATTAAGAAGCTATCGCGTTGGGAGGTTATTGATGTGGTGCGAACTTTGTCCACGGAAAAAGCGAAAGCCGGTGAACAAGGCATGGATAAATTTTCCCGAGGCAATCGCTTTTCCATTGCCGAACATCAGGAACGTTATAAAGAGGAATGTCAACGTATATTCGATTTGCAAAATCGTGTTTTAGCCAGTTCCGAAGTTCTCTCCACCGACGAAGATGAATCCTCAGCCTCGGAAGAATCAGATCTTGAGGAATTGGGAAAGAACTTGGAAAACATGTTGTCGAATAAAAAGACTTCGACTCAATTAAGCATGGAACGCGAAGAGCAAGAAAGGCGAGAAATGTTCAAAAAGTTCGTTGAGAATGAAGATGGCAATAAAAATAAAGGCGACAAGAGTAAAGATGGTGCTGGAAACAGTTCCCAACAAGTCGTGGCCAATCCTAATCAAGGTCGTATTTTAAAAATTACCCGCACTTTCAAAGATCAAGAAGGCAAAGAGTTTACCCGCGTTGAAACCGTCAGACGTCAACCAGTCATTGATGCTTACATTAAGATTAGAACTACAAAAGATGAACAATTTATTAAGCAATTCGCCACTTTGGATGAGCAACAGAAGGAAGAAATGAAACGAGAGAAAAGACGTATTCAAGAGCAATTGCGTCGCATTAAACGTAATCAGGAACGAGAAAGATTAGCGCAACTGGCACAAAATCAAAAATTACAACCTGGTGGAATGCCTCAAAATTTGGGTGATCCCAAATCGTCCACCTCATCTTCGCACAAAGAACGCGATACAAGTCACAAGGAAGTCAGTCCATCGCGTAAGAAATTTAAATTGAAACCCGATTTGAAATTGAAATGTGGTGCCTGTGGTCAAGTGGGACATATGCGAACGAACAAGGCTTGTCCTCTATACACTGGCACTCAAGGTCCCGCACCAATTATGAACACAACTGTCCCGGAAGAACCAGAAGAGGAAATCGAAAAGGAAGTTAATTGCGACGACGACGATTTAGTGAATGTTGATGGAACTAAGGTGACTTTAAGCAGCAAGGTATTGAAACGTCACGAAGACGGACGGGGAAGAAAGGCATTATTGTTGAAAGTTCCCAAAGAAAAAGGTCAAAGGAAGAGACGTATGCCTGGGGATTTGCATTGCGATTATTTGCAAAGGCACAATAAAACAGCGAATCGTAGGCGAACCGATCCTGTAGTGGTGTTATCATCTATACTTGAAGAAATTTTAAACGAATTAAGATCTCTACCAGATGTTACACCATTTATGTTTCCAGTTAATTCGAAGGTAAGTGAAAATTTCTATTCCAAATAAAAAAACATTTACTTGGACTTCGGACATTTTTTTAGCTCGTTCCCGACTATTATCATATTGTCACCAAGCCTATGGATTTGCAAACCATGCGTGAAAATATACGCCAAAAACGTTATCACAGTCGAGAAGAATTCTTGGCCGATCTAAATCAAATTGTTGAGAATTCTACTTTATATAATGGCCCACGTAGTTCTTTTACAATCGCTGCTCAACGTATGTTGAAAAACTGCTTTGATTTATTAGCTGAAAAAGAGGATAAACTTATGCGTTTGGAGAAGGCTATTAATCCCCTTTTGGATGATGATGATCAAGTCGCTCTATCATTTATATTTGAGAAGTTACATGGCAAAATTAAATCCATGCAAGAAAGTTGGCCATTCCTCAAACCAGTTAATAAGAAACAAGTTAAGGATTATTATACCGTCATTAAAAGACCTATCGATTTGGAGACAATCGGTAAAAATGTTGAAGGTAAACAAACAAAGAGAAAATTATTTATTTTTTATTGTATTGTGTTTCTGTGGTTTTCACCAGATTAATGTGTAAAGTAGTTTGCGAGACTAGTCTAGTAAGTAAAAATAACCCAGAAAATGATTTTCAATTTAGCCCTGGGAAATTTTGCGGTAGCACGCGCTACCTTCCATACCAGCTTCAGGTCAATGCACGGAAGTTACTTCCTCTACCGCGGGAGTATCCATAAACTATGCGATAAATGTCAAAAAACCCTGTTTAATGATGGTGCATATTTGGATTATTAAGCTTCATAACTATATTTTAATTTTTTGATAAAAATTTTATCAAAACACAGTAAGAATTAATTTGTGTACATATTAGTCAAATATTCGCAGCCGCATGTCGGTGCAATCGTAGATTATACAATGTGTGGTGGTGTTCCGAATGGTAAAATTTCCAATATCTTCTTTGTTTCGCTAAATAGATACTATGTACCTTCTGAAATATGTGGCAGAAAAATATTTGAAATACATATTTTTTTTTTAACTTTTGTCTTTTTCCAAGCACTCAAAAGTTATAATGTCTTACCTACAGATATCTAATTACAACTTTCCTAGTCATTAATTTGAACGGTTTTTTTCTTAGCTCATCGGTATCATTCGCGCGCAGAATTTTTGGCTGATATTGAGCTAATCGCAACGAATTGCGAACAATATAATGGCGGGGAATCTCGTTTCACCAAAAATGCTAAACATATATACGAATATGCTCGCTCCCAATTGGAAGAGGTGAAGAAAAAATTACTTATTTATTCATTTTATAGCTAATGACTGTAAAAAAATTATTTAATTTTTTGTTTTTGTTATTTTTGGGATAAAGTTTGCCGAACACTGTTCACAATTGGAGCAAAATATATCTAAAGTGCAGGAACGCGCACGGGCTGACGCCGATCTTGATGACGCTTGGTGCGGCGATGAACAGGATTATGATTATATGCGTATGAGTCATTCAAGTACACCGGAGTTTATTGATGTGGAAAGCAATGATAGACCGGTTACGTCTACTTTTACGCCTACTATGCAGCGAGGCATTGGTGGCAATATTACTTTAAGCACCGGAATGCCAACAGCAAATTTAAGCGATTCAACAATACCTCAACAACCGACGTCTGACGTTAAACGCGGTCGCGGTCGACCCCGTAAGCAACGTGATACCGTAGAAGGAGGTAAGTTTTTTAAATTGATTTCTCAACATAAACACACGTGTGTATTACGTGTTGCGCTAAGAGAAAAATTTGATTTGATTTTTTCATACCTTGTTTAGGCTTTATTAACCGAAATTTTATTTAATTCTCAACAATACATTGCTTGAAAAAATACCTTTCGTTTCTTTTTGTTACTCTTATTAATCATACGAAAGCATTGCTATATGAGTTGGTTTGGTTCTTAAATTAATTAATTAATTAACTTTTTCTTTAGTATTTTTTCTAATAGTTTTTTCTTCTTTTCTTGAGAAATTTTTCATCAATTTTGGGTAGCGGTGCATTAACAACTTTGCAAAATTCTTGTTACTAACAAAAAAAACAAAAGTACAAAAAAAAGAAAAGGAAATGCTTTACGAATGGAGTAAGAATTATTTGTAGGGCAAATTGTGTGTTTTTTTTTTTTTTTTTTTTTTTTTTTTTTTTTTTTACTATTTTTAAAAAAACTTTTTATTTTTTTTTCTTTTTATTTTTAATGTAATTTTTTTTTTTTTTTTCTGATAAATTAAAACAAAAAACGTGTTTTTGTGTATTCAGTTAAAAAAAGCATGACATTCAAACATCATTTTCTTATAAAAATTCCATAATATTTTTTTTGTAAGTTTTACATAAAAACAAGAAAAAAAACATCCTTACATACACTTCCATTTTTTATTATTTTTCCATCCTAAACAAAAAAGAAGTAAATAAAAAAGGCAAAAATTTAATCAAATAAGAGAAGAAAAAGGAAAACCAAAAACAAAATCACTTGAACAAAAAAAAAAAAAACTTTAAACCTGAAAACAACAAACAAACCAAAATGCGTTACAAATTCTATTTTCTAGTCAAATATATTGCGAATGCCGTTAAACGTGGTCGTGGTCGTCCCCGCAAGGACAGCCTAGCCTCGAATTTAAGTAACCCACATAATTCCTCCTTTCTGGAAGAAGGTAAGACTAATACTATTGCATCCATTACTCACTATCTTATCTTGCTTGTTGTACCATAATCCTTTGGAATGGCTGTTAATTGCGAATTCCTCATCTCCACTCACAATACGCCTTAATTTTTATAAAATTGCTTACTATTAACTGCAAAAGCAACCACTTGCCAAATACCTTTTCCTTTATTATTTGTAATGTATATATATATATATATATTTTATATATATATATTTTATTTATTTTTTTTCTTTTTTTGCTATAGTTTGGTCTCTTTTTTGGTTTCTTTTCTTTTTATTATACTTTTTTACTTTTTTTTATTAATCCTTCTGTAATATTAAACATATTTAAATTATTTTGCTTTCTCTAAAACTATTATATTTAAAATTACAAGTATTATCTGTAAGTATGTATGCGCGAGGTTTGATCGATACGTAATAATAAAACTTGGAAATTATTTGCACAATGTCTTGCCCATTTGTTCGTTTCCTCTTTTCTCGACTATTCGTCCCATAAGGGCGTAAGTTAAGCATACTTGCTATTATAACGATCCAAGTCTATGTGTCCGTCTCTCCGCCTGATGTCTGTCCATGTACCTGTGAGATGTTTTGATGAAATTTGATACAGTTGCTTTGAAGGATGAACGCTGTTGAAAATGGCTCAGCTCAGATCGCTCTACTTTTTTGACCACTTCTTTTCCTAATGCCTTATTTTGAAAAGTCTTTATTTGGAAAAAAATGACAACTTTCAATATTTTTTGACAAAGCTCGATGAGTGATAATAATTCCACATTCTAAATTAGTATGAATTTGGACCACGTAGATATGTTTTTAATTTTAGATTTGCTAACAAAAGGGGGCACATTCAAAATAGAAAGTCGAATGCTTTTCTATGGGTATTCAGTATAAATTCTTCATTTATTTAAAATGGAATATTTTTAAGACACCACCGCGTGTAAGAATTCTTGAGAAAGGTAAATCTTTATATGCCAAAAAGACTAATTGTTAATGTTTTATCGTCAACATTTTTTCGTGGTGGTAATTTGAAATAGAAATTAGGTCGACCAAATATAACCCACATGGTCCATTTACTCCATATAAGATCTCTCATCAGTAATAAGCCCTTCAGTAAAGAGTTTAATTTTTAATATTTTATGATAACAATTGATCCATAAAAGCGATTAAGTTAAAAAATTAACAGTAGGGAATTTGGATCGGTTAGGTCCATTTGTTAGAGCGTCACGTATGTAAGAGTTATCACGACAGCAAGCCCTTACATGGAAACAAACCATAATTTCCAGTTTTCTACGATCGAAACTGGAAGGTAATAAAATTTTTACAAAGCAAATTAAGTTTGCTGAATTTGGATCACGTCATATAATGTTTTGGGCATCCTGCTATATGTGGGCTTTCAGGCAAAATATGGTTGGGTTTGCATAAATTAAATGTGTAATTTTTGGTGTATTATTGCGAATGAGAGTAAACAACTGCACTAGCCAGAGTGGTATAGGGTACCCGATGGCCGGCCTTGCCCAGGCTTGCACTGTTTCAGATTAACTAAAAATGCTGAAAACGTGGCATCTTGAAGAATTTATTTTATCATAGGAATAGAAATAAGCAGAATAGAGCGCATGAAGTATGTTTTGCAAATTGAATGCATTTACTGTAATTCGAGCATCTGTCCGTTAAGATTACGATAGCTACCTCAAGGAAGTTATGGCCCATCTTAGTAACCTCTGCCTATTCGATGAATTTTTGTGACTTTCTTAGAGCTTTCAAATTGACCTTAAACTATCCTTTTTTCATTTATTTATTCATTATGCGATTATAAGTCATAAGCTTTCCAGGCCGGGATACATACGTTACATAGTAATAATGCTGACTTCTTACATCCAATTTGTATATACATAAATATGTAAAGAAGAAGCTAATAAATAATCAAATTACGAAATCGATCAAACCTTGTTCTTTGCGTGATTGTGTGTGTGTGTGTGTGTGTGTGTAGACATTTTTCGGTATTCTCTTTCTATCATGAACCGTGGGCATAACTTTTAAAATTAAGAAAACAACTTTTCTTTTTAAGAGACCTTAAGAGAAATTCGAACTTTTCTTTCTGTAGCCTCATAGAAATTTTTTTTTTTTTTATCTAAGGCTAATAATAGATAATTCGAATTTTTAAAAAACATTATTCTCAACCGAAAAAGTCTGGTAACTACTCATCTGTTAGAAAGTAAAAAGTGGGTTTCATTGTAAAAACTTAAGACTGATTATTGCTCCACCTTAATTTTGTATTTCAATTCCAATTCATATTTTTGTATCCTTTCATCCTTTTCCATTTGCAATTTTTTTAATTCATATTCTTGCTTCAGTTTTTGCATTTCAATCTCGTAATCCATTTGCATTTTTTGTTCGTCCAGCTTAATACGCCTTTCTTCCAACAGGAGACGTCTAGCTTCAATTGTTAGCTGTTCGTCTCTGTTATATATTTGTTGGCTCTCATCATGGGAAGCATCTTTTTGTCCGTTTATAAACGGTTGTGAATTTGAATTTTCCAAAACGCTTGTTGTTGTCATCGTTGATAAAGAGGTTTGCGGTTGAGGTGTTGAAACATGGGTAGGTTGCATCTCAAAGTCACTCATTGTTAGTTCTTTTATTTCATAATTTTCAACTTGACTATTTTTGACAACAATGTCACCGAAAATTTCTCTTAAACGCTTAAAATGGGGACTCATGCGAAGAACTTTGTCTATGAGAAGGGAAACGCTTAAAATTTTTTCAAAAAATTAAAAAAAAAAAAAAAAAACTCGTACCAAGCACATAATTAACGTCACCATTTTCAGATCTTATCATATCGGCGCCAACCGTATTTTGCCATTCTAATGCCTTAATGTAGCCAGTTTTTAAATTGCGTACTTTCCATTTGCATAAAGACCAATTTGCATCTACGCCGGTTTGTCTTATTAGCTTTTCATAATAACTTTTTGCAGTCGGCTTCTAAGTTAGATGACAATATGCAGTCATTTGAGTATATTTTTACTTGAGATTTTTTCCTTCATAACCTCAAAAAAAATCAAGGAATTTTTTTTTGTTTTATTTTTAATTATTTTTACCTCTAAATTGCCATTGCTAATAATATATTCTAATATTTTGATAGTTTCTTCGGTGGTCCATTTCTTTTGAGGTCTTCCCTTCGGAAATGTGTTCCTCGATTTTGCACTAAATCTACTCATTTTTCTTTTCTTTATTATTTATTTGATGAAATTACACAATTTATAGCAGTGCAAGTGCACCTATTTATTGTTGTTTGATGGGTTCGAGTACAATGCACATAATTATTTACACATATACAGTTTTTGTGTATACACAACGTACAAGACACAATTTTGTGTTTTTCTCGTGAGTACTTTTCCATTTTGACAGTGCAGAATACAAAGCCACTTTATAAATACATTTTTAAGGGAGTGTTTTATGTGTGTTGTGCAAAAAAACTGCTTAGCTACACAAAACAGAACAACTGTTCCACGTAAAGCGAGAACAAACTGCTACGTATAAAAGAGTTTGAACGGTGTTGAGAAAGAGCAGAAATACATTGTGAATTGTTAAGTTATGGAAAGTGTAGGCCACAATTTGTAGTTGTATTATCTCTCCTTCTCTGTTTCACTCTTTCTTTCGTTTTTTCTCTCTTTATAAGAGAAATATCGTTTATATGAACTTAATGGCTGAAATGAACGACTGACCATAAAATCAATTTGGAGATTTAGAATAAACTACTAATACGCGTTCAATTTATTGTTATCTACCTCCGTCCGAAAATATGGTATACATTTGAAAAAAATAAATAAATAAAGTGTGTTGAAAAAAAGTGAAGATTACTTTCATCTTTTTCTATTTTTAATGTAAATTAAGTGGTTGCTGAGCAACTGACAATCAAATAAAGCGGAAATAGTTCTGTTGCAACGAAAAATTTAAGAAAAAAAAAAGTTTAACCAATGTTCCGAGTAAATAAAAGGGAAAAATGACGACTCTTAGCCAAGACTGCGTTAAATTGCGTAAGCGAAGCTCGAAAACGCAGCAATTGACGCTGAATCAGCGTAACGGTATACTGCAAAGATTATTGCAATACAGGAAAGGTGATAAACTGCAACATGGCGCTATTAATGTTGTTGCCGCCGATTTTCATGTTAGTCGTATAACGGTTTCTAAAATTTGGCATATAGCAAAACGGCAATACAGTGCAGGACAAAAATTTGCAGATGTTTCGTCGCGAAAAAAAAAAAATTGCGGAAGAAAGCGTAAAGATTATTCGGACAATTTAGCTAAAATGAAGGACATTCCTAAAAACTGTTGTGGTTCGATTCGTAGCCTTTCAGCTGCTCTCGACATTCCCAAGTCTACACTTTTTGACATCTTTAAGCGAGGTAATGATTTTATTTAAATTTATCAGCAATCGGCAACTTTGCTAGCTAAACGCTTTTTAAGTAATTATTACAGCAAAATGAGATTAGAATCTCTGGAAAGAATGCAAATATTTTATTTCTAGGCAAAAGAACGAAAAAATTATTATGTATTGATAGATCAGCACAATTTTTGCCCACAAAAGGATTATTTTTCCATTGCAATATAAATCTTACATATCTCAAGACAATAGATAAGTCAAAATTACAAATTATTGTTGATTGTGGGCATGTTAGCTCGCTGTTTGTTAATTACTAAGTGGTTCATCTGGTTTTTCGAAAGTATATCAATATTACCTAAACCAAGCCTTGTTTGAAGCTGACTTGTCAATTAAGAATGTGTACAAAAGACTTCGTTCTTTTCAAAAAAAAGGCCGGAAGACTTCCAATTAAAATTTGGCTCAGAACTTTCGAATTATTGATCAAAACCATTTGTCTTTTTAGAGGTTTACACCTGAGTGTTACGAGACGACTGAAAAGCCTAGTGCACACCAATTTTAAACACACAACTTAATGTATAAATGTAAACATTTGTTTACTAAGTATCACTTTTATCTGTTTTTTAATATTTTATTATTTTAAATCATTTTTTGTCAATTAAATTCAGATTTTGAAAGTTATGCCGTCATTTTTAAAGTTCGTGCTTTATACGAATTCTTGAAATAATATCCACTCGAAAGTTCTTGGTAAATTTTATTAACTTTGCCAACTGATTTTTTTTTTTTTTTGAACTATCCAGATCTTCAATGCTCCACAGACGATGATGATGAAGAATTTCAAGAAGTTTCAGAAGATGAAAATAACGCTGCCAGCATTTTGGATCAAGGGGAACGTATACAAACTGCAAATACAGTTATTTCGGAAGGTAATAATACACTAATTGATGCTGCCAACATCAAGACGGAAATGAAAATGGAACCCTTACAAATGGGCGGTGGTGAGTTGCTGTTTTTATCTAAATATTGAACAGAACCTAACGATTCTTTTTTCATGTTTATAGATGATTCGATGGATTTAGATCCGAATTACGATCCTTCCGATTTTCTGACTATGCATAATCGATTGGGTAATCAGCAAATTGACAATCAACAGCAGCAACAGCAGCAGCAACAGCAAAGCTTTACGCAATTTTTGCCTGCGGAAGAGAATCAAAATAGCGTTGATGCTCAAATTGCGGGCAATCAGCAAAACATTTCACAATTGCCCTTGATAATGAGTGGCAATGATAACGTAGGTATTGATGAAGATTTGGCAATATCGGAGAGCGACGAAGAGGATGAATGCGGTCAAAAAGTTACGGTGAAAACTGAAGTTTTTAATGAAAGCCTAAATGAAGATCAAATAAATAGCGCAAATCTAATGGCCAATGAGATGCTGACGGCTCAGTCTAATCAAGAACAACAACAGCAGCAACTTATGCAGAACGTAGCTCCTTACGGTTTGCAGGCAAGTAAAGAAGAACCCAACACACCGGATGATAACGACGATGATGGTTGGCTGCGCTTTTAAAAGTTAATATTAGATAAATAATTGGGCGAATATAAATCATGAAAGAATTCTTCCAAATAAAGCGTTTTTTTTTAACCACTAATTCTTAGCAGCTGATCAATTTGAATGATTTTATAATAATTTTAAATGACCGGTAACCTCGTCAATAGTTTTCACGTCAGCCGGACCTATTGCTAAAACTGTTTTTGAATTAGGTTCAATTTGAGTGCGTCCCGCGTCACGGATTAGACAAACGTTTAGATTTCTTGTTTCGGCCGCTCGTTTAATAGCCATCAATTCGGCTTCACTGTTCACTTTAAGAGCAACCTTAGCACAACCCGTATTATCCCAGGCTTTCACGATATTAGGTATACTCTTAACAGCTTTTTGATAAGCTCCCACAGCACCGTGACAGCACTGCGCAGCAATCTTCCCTTTACTCATTCCCAAATCATTACGCACTACTAAAACCATTTTGCAGTCCCGGTATAAACTGCTAAACAGCTGTAATTAATTTTGAATTATTAAAATGGTTCCAATATTTTTTAAATTTTGCTTTTACATTAGCGTCGCCCGATGTGCTTGCAGCCGCTAAGGCTACGGCATCGTTTTTAATCTTTTTATTCTTTTTCAAGGCATATTTGTAACCAATGAAAAAAGACAGGAGCACAGCAATGCTATTGACCACTTGGGTAGTACTTAATACTTTAGTGTCACTCATTATTTCACATAAACTTCGATGAATCTAAAATACTTAATCCGGCCAAGAACAGCGAAAACATTCTAAGAAATAAATTTTCTAAAGCCACAGGCAGTGTGAAGATATCGGATAAATTTAAGTAGGAATTTTCTGAAGTAGTATTGCCACAGGAAAAGTTCTCTTTTTTTGCAGTAATCTATAGAACTTTAGGAACAATTTGACATTCAAGTGTTAACTATTCGAAAATAATTTTTTAACAATTGGAATAGATTTTCAACATATTTGCAATATTTACACTCTTCTCCTAAACGTTGATTTTGGAGAATTTATATTCAAAACATATGACTTTTTAAATTTATAAGGGACAAGTAAGTGTGACTTCGGCTAGCGTTTTGTTCGTTTCTTTTTTTTTTTATTAATTCGTAGTAAGGTATAACAGTCAAGCAGACTTAAGAAATATTAGAATAACCACTTCTAAAGTACGAGCTAATATATTGCTGAATAGTTGTAGCAGTAAGTAATAGTTCACTGCCAAAATACGGCACACTAGGGAAAAGCATATTATGTTTGTAAGGTTTTATTTCACCATAATTTCGATTTGGCAATGCTGTCAGTTGACGTGGTACAAAAACAAGCGGCTTTTAATAACGAAGAAGATACGCAGAGTTTTTGTAGTAAAAAATTATTAAGTTTTTATATCTAAAAGTTTTAAAGAACAATTCTTAATCTTAACTGCCAGAAAAATGGGTATCACCGAGACATTGCAAATCGATGAAATGATACGCGACTTTAACAGAATGAACAAGCGTCAGGTATGTGTTTATAAAAATGTGGCTTCAATTTGCAATTTGTGTTGTCTTCACATTAATACACGTATGCATTACAATGAATGGCTTGAAATTTAATTTTAGTCATTGTATCAGTTCTTGAGTTTTGCTATGATTGTATCCTCGGCTTTAATGATTTGGAAAGGCTTAATGGTGGTAACAGGTAGCGAATCGCCTATTGTTGTAGTGCTGAGTGGTAGCATGGAACCAGCCTTCCATCGCGGTGATTTGCTGTTTTTAACCAATTATAAAGAAGAACCTGTCCGTGTCGGTGAAATTGTAGTTTTTAAAGTCGAGGGGAGAGATATACCTATAGTGCATCGTGTTATAAAATTACATGAAAAGTAAGTTTTTCCATAAAGTGTAATATTTTAACAATGAAAGAATTCATTTGATTTTTGTTAGGGATGATGGTTCTGTGAAATTTCTAACCAAAGGTGACAATAACAATGTTGACGATCGAGGTCTCTATGCTCCGGGTCAATTATGGCTAACAAAAAAAGATATCGTTGGTCGGGCCCGGGGGTTTTTACCGTACGTTGGCATTATAACAATATTCATGAACGAATATCCTAAAGTTAAGGTAAATATTGCAAACTTTTACTAAAAATAATTGTAATAAATTCTGCTTTTCGTTTTAGTGGGCAATATTATCAATACTGGCCATTTTTGTTTTACTTCATCGCGAATAATGTCTAAACGAGCTAAAGAAAATCCACTAATAGAAAGCCGCCAATATCACAAATTTTGTAAAGCAAAAAGTACTTTCACGTTCCCCCTCTACAGCTCTTATTAAAATTTATAATCATTTAAAAGTTACAACAAATTTTAGTTAGTTAGTCCATTAGACTTATGTGAATAAATGAATGCTGAAATGAAGACTACGAGAAAGACGGGAAAACTTTTCCACATACACATATGCACACAATTTTTCAAAAGAAGTACGAAATTGTCCTACGCTGCAAAAGTCATTCAACGAGACTTGTGTTGTACTAAACTTAAGTTAATTTATTTTTCAGTTTCTTGATAAAGAAATAATTGAAAGCATTTTTGTTAACAAACAGACGTAAAAAACAAAAAAGAGAAAAAAACAAACTTGAGAAAATTAAAGTTAAACTGAACAAGATTTGAAATTAAATTTCTAATTAATGGCTTCAATAATTCGGCCCTTTCAAGTTTCAAAGTACAATAATTTTTAGTTTAGATTTTTATAAAATTCTGTAATTTATTTGTTTAGCTTACAGTCTTTACCCAAAAGTTCTATTCTAGTAAAGTAATAATATTTCTTTGAAATATAAAAAGCCAGTCTTTTCTAGTTTATCCGTATTACTTCATGATGATAGCGGTTCTTCTTAATTATCTAAAGTGTTGAGGAATCAATATTCCTCGTTAATCTTGGTCAGTTCCCTCTGTATCGTATATTGCTTCATGCAAAAATTTTTAGGAAAAAATCAACCACTAAATTAGTGGATTTATTTTTTTGCAAATCGTTGCGATTTTCCACAAATTCAAAACCATTTCTTTTCATTGTCTTTGTGTTTTCGAGTTGTCGAAAATACTCTTAAGGAGATCGTATAAGTTTTGATTTCAATTATGGCAGCAAATTGCGAGCTTTTGATTTATCATCAAATAAGTTAGGACCCGGTTGATTCTTGGGTCTGGGCGAAGGAGTTAGAGATCTGGTATGAGGAGCTAACTCTTCCTTCTTTTTAACGGCTGAAGTGGCGGCACGACGCAAACGTATCTTCTCTTCCATCCGCGAGGGAACCATAAAACAGTTCGATTCCTTGTAAATCGGTTTACGACGATCATTCCAAGGGAATTCAAATTGTATGGGCTTGAAATCACGCCTCCAAGGTATTCTGGGTCTAAACCAATAATCACAAGTCCAATCCTCTTCGCCATCATCGTCGACGTCACTGTGAAGAAGTTCACTTAATAATAGTAGATATCCTCTTCTTATTTATTAAAATAGATATCTTACCCTCTAACGTATACACGCACATATCTACCGGAACTTCGGAATAAATCCAAAGCCTCGTTAAACGTTAATTCCAAAGCTGGAGTATCATTAATTTGTGTAATTTCATCGCCGATTCGCATGCCTGCTCGACGTGCCAAACCTGTGGGTCTTAAGTTGATAATAGTCAACGGTTCAAACTGATCTACGCCACCTGAAACTTCAATGCCCCATAACGAATCTACAAAACTCATTACGCGACGATCAGTTTCCAATGTATATGTTATACGCAGCTCATATTCGACATTACCGAAAGCATCTGAAGTATACTTGGGTAATTTTCTCTTTGAATCAATCATTCTAGACGACCCATAATGAAATTCATTTTAACTTTTGAATGAACTCGGTTATGTAAAAAACATTTTTTGATTTAAATTTACCTGGGGTTTTAATAAAGAAATCGCAAACCTAAAAATCCCACTAATCCGTGATACAACAGAAAAATTCCTCCTTAGGAAAGGATAATAATTTATTAAAAAAAAAAAAAAATTTTTTTCTTTTTAGAAAAATCGCTTGTTGTAGTCACGTTGATAAACACACAACAATTCGATTAGAAGACAATTAAATTTTAATCTTATGAGGCGGGTGGTATTTATAGCCATCGACAATTTCTTTAAATTGCTTGATTACTTTCATGCTAATGATCGTGACAATGATTTCATGGTCAAGAGTTTTTAGTAAAAAACTACATCACGACGTCATTATATTTTTAATTTTGTCTGCTAACCGATCGCCTAGTTGATGAGAGAAGAAAAACTAAAAAAGAAGATTTATTTTGTTTTCAAAATAAATTTAATGCAAGAGCTCTTGAAGGTTTAAGTGCGTACAAGTAAGCGGAAGTTATTTTACAAAAAGAAAAAAGAAGAACTTTCGCATTAGTATCCTGACTCGTTTCAAATGAGAATTAGCTTCGCTTCCATTAACAACAATTAAAGGAAATAAAAAGTTATTTATTTTTTATTTAATATTAAATATTACATTATTAAAAAAATGAAAAATAAATATTAAATTATGAAAAAATATTATTTGTACTCCTATTAGCAAACGCTCCACCACTTAAGAACAGGCATCAAAGTTTTTTCTAAAATTCACATATTGTTGGTAATCAATACTAACCGTGGGCGAAATTAGTCTTGTGCGTTTGTTTGTCTCTCATCGGAAACTCCCAAACCATTAAAGTCAAGTCTAATTCCTAGCTTTTCCATTTCAAAGGTTAAGTGTTTTGTAACATTTCAAATTCACTATGAAAAAATATTGAAAATTTTGAATTTTGAAATTTTATGCATTGAAAAAGAACCAGTGAATAAAGAACCGCGAAGGATTATGACCGTGTGAAGGGCATAATAGTGTATAGACATGTTTGCAATCTTGCAGTGTAGATCGGGGATCAAGTGGGCTGTTAAATCCTAGTACACCTGAAAAGTCCATAAATAAAATACAAACAAGTACGAACATTACATTCGACAAAGGTCGACCGTTAGATACCATACGTTACATTAAAAATTACGCAAAATTATTTTCACGTAAAGATATGCCTTTAATGAAAGCCTGCATATCGGAGGATGGCTAAATTATCACATTGGCTGATCCAATCCGTCTTAAAAAGTTAGAAATTAGACCTCCTCTCCATATAAAGCCTTGCTTCTCGTAATAACTCTTACATATGTTAGGGTCTAACAAATAGACCTACCTGATCCAAATACCCCACAATTTTCACCATGAAATATTTAAAATCAAATATTTTTCTGAAGGGATCAGTACTGATGAGAAATCTTACATGGAGTGGGGTCCAAGAAACAGCCTCATGTGGTTCAAATTTGGTTCACTCATCTTTTATGTCATATTACTACTATGAGCAAATTTTCATCAATAAAACGTTAACGATTGGGCATTTTTGGCGTAAATATTTACATTTCCTGAGAATCCTTCTAAGCTGTGGTTTCCAAAAAATAAACTTACATCGTCCAAATTTGGTAAAATTGATTTCTTTGTCAGTATGCTATTATTCAACAATTTTCACCATGAAATATTGAAAATTAGACCTTTTGAACGTATAGGGTTTTAGTAGGAACTTTTATATAGGAAGTGGTTCAGAAATTTGCCCCAGTCGAATCAAATTTTTCATACCAATTAAAACTGTTAAGTAGTACTACTCAACGAGTCTTGTCGGAAGATTTTCAAATTTGCAATTCTTTTCCAAATAACAAGTTGTCAAAAGAAGGCCTTATACGGGGATTGGGCGAAAAATTGGACTAATCCGAACCATTTTCAATAACGTCCACTCTTTAGGCAAAAAAGTCGATGTACCAAATTTTTGAATTGGAGATTGAACATAACAACACGTGAGCAAACAACAAGCGGGCATTCAACGATGACCATGCGGGCACAACAAGCTTACATCGACTCAGAAATGAACCTCAATTTCTTCTGGATGTGACGTGCGTCTGCATAAACCCTGTATCACGAATGATGTAGTGTATGAGAGGCGTCTTCCTCACAAATCGGCCTCATTAGTACACGAATGGTGACTAAAGAGTTCATATGTTTCTTTGTTGTTAAAAAGAAAATATCGGACCAAGAATTTCTCTCCGGTCTTTTGTTTTCAAAGTCACTAAGAGTATTAATAAGAGGTCTACGCTGAACAACGACATGCTTTCAAAAGACCAGCTTACCTGAGATGTATGACTTCTTAATGTGAACCGTGAAGTGGTTGATTTACTGCCTAGTCCTTGTAGGACATCAATTGTATCCACTCACTATACCAAAGACTAAACTAATTAGTAAACACTCATTAAATCTGTTATTCTAATTTGCTAGACTTTCCTGATCAATTCGTTCGCCCTATTTGCACAAACATATAAAAAGTGTTGCGGTCTGTATAGTTCTGGAAAAATTAACATTCTGTTAAAGCGATATGACTAGATTGGCTATATAAAAGAAAATTTTAAAATGCGTTCAAAGCGGATCTGAGGTACTTATTGCCCACAAAAGCTGCTGAACGACTTCAGCGTTTAGAAGATCTTATAATTTCACTTTGACAAGCCCCGTTATTAACAAAGCCTATACATTGGATTCCGAGGGAGAACGCGCAACAAACCAACGCATGAAGGCAATTAAAGCTTTACAAAGACCATATGAGTCTGGGAGGTTAAAAAGTACAACTTAGACGGCGTAACAAATATAAGAAAGACTGTATATGAAATGGCAACAGAAGAAGATATTGTAGTCGGACAAGGTCGATTTGTCAATTTTCTATGCCAATTCGTTTGCTACAATTCAAAGTCAAAAATTTAATAAAATTCAAGCAGTGTAATCATATAAAAAGCGGGTTTTCGAAAAAAGCCTTTAATTGGAAAAGGCGGAAAGACGTCACTTTCACCAATTTATGTCAAGAAATACCAAAACAATTGCAAAATTTCTTTTATTATAACTATTTTAGAAAGTCCGGTCTTACATATGGTCCTGAAAATTTGCATTCTTTAGGACGAGCACAAAAGCGTCTTCATAGAGACAAAGCAAGCAGACAGGCTTCTATCGATTTATTTATCTGAATACGTGAATATTACAATTGACGAATCTAGTTTAAGTTCATCTACATATTGCCCATAAGCTTATTATATTCCGTACCTAAAATTTGTAAACAACACGTTGTTTAGAATGTAGGAAAGGACAATCTAAATAACCTAATCTAATCTAACCTCAAAGAATAAAAAAAATATTTTTTTCGGGTGTAGGAAGAATTGCAAGTTGACTAATAATAAACAAACTAAGAGCATCCTCCGAAAGACGATGCCTTTCGTGTCTCTAAATACGAAAAACTCTGCTTCAGGCTTTCTTAGATGTAATTAATTTTTCGTAAATATGTTTAAAAAGGTTCAGCTTCGTATTGATTACATATTTTACATCTGCTTATCTATGATTCATATCAGTATGAGATAATAAAATTAACAATAATGATATAAAATACAATAAAGCAACAAAAACGATTAATTGATAAGATTAGGTTGATTCTATCATGGGAGAAAAAAAAACTTATAGCATAAGAGAAAATATGAAAAAAACTTAAGAGATTACTAAGTTAACTGAGTTTCTTATTTACCGTATACTCTCATATATATATATATATTTTCTTTTTTGAGCAAACACTTGTTGCTTTTTGTTGCTTACGCTTAGTAGAATACTCAAAGTGTTTACGAGCAGACGTTGCAAATTTTATAAAGGTATTAAAGTTAATAACATGTTGACTAATAAAAAAAAAAAAGTAAAGAAAACAGAAAAAGTCATTCTTTTCCAAAATACGAAGAGATAAAATGAAGTTTATTGTGAAAAAAGAAATACGTGTTTTTGGGTGAAAATAAGCGGAAAATGAGGAAAAATTTCATATATATGTAGTTTTTGCTGAGAAGCGATAAAACCATAATGTACCTTTAGTTCATATGTATTTTAGTATGTTAATTCTCAAACTAGTTTTCCCACTTTTCTTGATTTTGTTTATCATCAAATATTAATATAAAAACAACATCATGCGTGATCGTGAAGATCACGTAAATTATTACATAGATATAGACATTGATTTGCATGTATAAGGTAAGGTGGCGCGTACTGTTTGTGTTACGGAAAATGTGCAGATTTTTTAAAATGTTTTTATTTGTTCAGAAAACAGAGATTAGAGAAGAATGTAATGATATCACTTATTATTACATGATATTATATATACATGTCGTCGCCTTAGAACTCTTTAGAATTGGAATGAGTAACGAAATTCTAAATGTGGGAGTTGGAGAAGTAACTAAATTAGTGTATTTTAATGTAAAATGTATTAATAAAACGAGGCGTTTAAGAAAATGATCCTCTTAGGCAATGTGGCGCTTTTCAAATACTCGCGATCCAATATACAAAAATTTGCGTTCGGCAAATATACGAAAACATTCGATCAATTACAAGCGCATTAGGAGTTGGATTTGATAACAAACTTCGCAGGAATAATTAAATTAATACGCGAGTTTGTATCTGTTTGTAAGATGGCATTTTGCATTTTATGAACAGAATTTCTCAACTAAGAGAATGTCTGATTGAAAACGATCTTAGAAAAAGGCTAAAAGTGTTCGAATTTGAGTTAATTAATTAATGAGTGCGTTCCCAAGCAAGTTATTAACGAGATTTTAGAAAAGAATTGTGGAAATATTAAGAATTTCAAATTTTATTAACTATTGTCGACATTTACGTTGACGGACCTCGTCTACGAAGTTTGAAAGAAAGTTTGCAAGCTGAGGCCTGGTGATAGTAGGAATCTGTAAAATGGATATAACAGACCTGTGAAAATATCTGATATTTCAAGTTTTTTCTTCCATTGTCGAGGTCTTTCTGGGTTAATCCCACCCAATTGCAAACCTAGTCCTAGAAAAAAAATTATAAACCAAGTCCCAAAGTTCTGCGTCAATGTCTGCCCCATGCAGCATGACAAGAAACAGTGGACATACAGACAGACATCATAAAATCGACTGTAAATCGACTGTTAGTTTGATCAAATGTGTGTATGAAATATGTGTATATAAGATCTCTTATGTCATTAATATTATGACGTAATGGCCCTACCCGTCTTCTTCAATTAATTTCAACTTTTACTCAAGCTTTTCTATTTCTAGTAACACAGGACTGAACGGCATTGCAATAAGAAAGAATTAAATGCAATAAATTGCATTTATGTACATATCATAATAACATAGCATTTTTTTTAACCCGATTATGGGGGTGTTTGGGGTGTGTGTGCGTATGGTATAAGTTATGAATTGTTTGATGTTTGTGCTGTCATTCCAAAAGAATTTTCAATTAGTTCATTAGCAATTAAATAGTAATACGCGCATGTATACATATTCAGCATACAGGGTGTGTACTGAAACATTATATCAGTTAAGATCGTTAGTTTTAAATGTTACAATTAAGTATTATTTGAAATTGTTAGGAACTTCAATCTGCTTACATCTTATAGGCCAATGCCTTTCATAAAACGACTGACATTGGCGCATCGATCTAAAGTGATCTTTTGCCTAGACATTGATGCAAGTGTTTACCAGAGACATTCATTCATTCAATTTAAAAATGATACTGAGCCTTTCGGTTTATCTGTGGACAATAAAGATGGACATGAGTTCTATAGATCCTTCTAAATGGAAACATTTTAGCTTATCTTTAATAGTAGGAAGGGCGGGTAGAAAAGACAAGTCAAGTCAGACCCTTACCGAGCGATAATAATTATTGGTTTTATGCCGGGGGATTCCATAGCATCAAAAAAACAATTCAATAAGCATATCGATTAAAAGTTAACTGTACAGGTCATCAAGATATAAAAACCTACTCAAATAGTCGTATATTTCTTTGGGACACCTTGTATTTGCGTCTACGCGTGTTAACTGCGTTGCTTGTTGATTGCGTTTGTATTAGTGTTTGTCTAAAAAAAACAACAATTGGCTTGATTTCAAAATTGGCACTTGTAGTTGCCATATTGGTCTTCGAGGATGCGGACAGACGAAGTAATTAAAACAAAATAAAATACATTTTGGATTGGTGACACGTACACACACCAACTTTCTATGCTTGCATCAAATGTAAGCTAAATATAAAGCCACGCAGTCCGAACACCATACTAATGCAGTGATAAATGAGAAAAAAAGAAAAACAGAAAACGCCTTGTTAAGGGAATCTGAGACGATGTTCGCCTTTAAAGTTCAAAATATTTTGCTCTCATTACAGAAAGCGTAGTGAAAGTGGATTTCATAATTAGAGTAATACATAAAGCGAAGAAATCCATGATGACAATAAGGAGATAAAGTTATGATGGGTGTGTTCGGACACTTGTAACATTTAGATATATACACAAGGATTTACATAAGATTTAGCAGGTTTACAAGTTTGACATGCTATTTTCAGAAACACGCGGCAGGCGAATTTGAGATATATGGCATTTTGAGTTTGCGCATATGAGCAAACGCATATAAGTGATGGATTGGGAAAGAGTTCGCAAATGGTTGTTTTCCGTAGTTTCCCAGACAGCTTTCAGTTCTTTTTCCCCGAGCTGTAGAAAAAATGTTGCGATGAGTGATTCGTAAGAAATAGGGAAAGCTTTTAGCGCCGTAACATTCGGGAACTCGCGGCAAAGTCGGAGAAGTATGTAAGCAAGGACGAAGCATTCTCTAAGTAAACCACTTAGTGTCATTCATCTAAGGTTGAAGCTTGAAACGACTTGAAAATGGATGAAACTCGCTGACAACATTGTTGACAGTAGACGAAAAACCAGAAAGTGAAATAACCTACGGATATCGATATAACATTTTGCGCAAATGCAGGAGATCACGGCGATAGCTCTTGAGGCGATGACTATATTACGCGATTGATTTAAAATCTTTTGTTAAAGAGTCTTATTTGCCTAATTTTGACATTTGTGTCTTTGAAATGTTTTAGTTTGCTTTTCCGACCCTAAGAACGTTGAACGGACCAGCAGGATAAGAGTGAAAGATCTTAGTAAAAAAACTCTGGATGGTCCAAATGGTGATATTCCTTATGCTCCCTATCGAAAAGTGCCCATAAATTAATTTTACTATTAGAGGAAAAGCGTGGCAGAGCCTCTGTAGAACCTGAAACGTAAGCCTTATCAGGGTAATATTCAGAAGCGGTTACCCCACTCACATTTGCTTCTCTTCGTAGCTTTCTAAAATTTCCGCAAATGTATTGAGTTTGTCGCACATATATATCTTGACTTCTTTTACAAGTATTTGTGGGGACTAGACGAGATATGCCAATGAAAATATATATATTTGGGATCTCGGGTGGGTATCCAAGATTCGTCTTATGACGTTTATACTTCATTTTATTTTATTTTTTTTGGTTTTTATTTATTTCTGTGCCGATTAACAAGAAGACGTAAACACTACATTTACTCGTATGTTAAGTTATGTGTGCATGTATTTATGTGAAAATTCTTTTTCTCTCCCTCGCTTTTACTCTTTTGATTTTATTTTCTCTTGCGTTTCTTGTGAATGACTTCAAGCATTAGAACACGACGTTTGTTGTTGAGTAGCTTACAAGATCTTTTGAGAGAATTTAAGAGCGAAACAAGAAAATGCAAGTTAAGGCGAAACCTATGATATGCACTATTGAGGAGAAAGCAAAAACGTAAACGGAATCTGTCAGCCTCGAACGAATTTTACGAGGGCCTTAATTTCTTTAAAATCCAAAAAGAGTTTTCATACAATTATTTATGATGATCGTTGTAAGGAGGTTTAGAAAGAAGAGTTTATACCAAACCCTTTTCCCATCTGAAATACCACCACCCTGAGTTTTTTCTCTATATTTTGGCGATAAAATGACCAGACTTTTGTTGTGAGTAAGGAATTCCCTTTAAGTATTTTTCTCCCTAGCATTTTCGTTGTCATTCATAGAATTCTAGTTTGAAAGCGGGCGAATGTTACATATGTGAAAGCGGAATAAGAATGCCATGCGACGATCGGTGCAAAAACAAAAAAACCGGTTATTTTGTTTGTACGCCTCAGATGCAACAAATGCTGTTGTGTTTACATTTCAGGTTCGTTGTCATTTGTTTTCCGATTGTCTTCTAAAGTTCCCCAATTTAATTGTGGAATTTATGATTTGCTGAAATAAGTCCACACTTTGTTGTGTGTGTCAAAAGGTGTTTAACCTAAACGTAAAAAGCGATGGAGAAAGGCAAAACTTATTTCGTTAAATGTTACACTTATGCACTTATTGGGAAGTAATTAATGATAAAATAAAAAATTCCCCGAGCAACTTTTGTAACGATAAGAATAATGCTTAGCATGTTTCATAAGATCAGTGTGGATTTATGCAGGAGATTCTGCCCATGGTATCAGTTAATGTGACGGAAATCGTGAGTCACTTCTCATATGTTTGTCTTTAAAAATAAAATCGTTGATGTCAAACACTACCTCCTTACTCTCCTAATGTTAAGTTAAAAAATAAATTGCGAGATAATCACGTAACTGAAAGTTAGTTGCAATTTCGCATTCGGCCGAAAACGGAAGTTAAATTTTTCATACTTGATAACCCCTGAATTCCTTCGCACGGTCACATTTACTAGCATTATTCTTTAGCGGTGACTTTTCTGTATTCTTTCCGATATTCTTATCTGAGCAGAGAGAGTGTGGAAAACGCAATGCGTTGGCATTCTTTAGTAGGCTGTCTAGACTCCAAGGTTAGGCTACTTTTAGCTGCGTCGTCTAAAATGATGCTTTAATGACTCCATTCGGAGATAGTATTTCGGTGTAGTCATTCACTGCCGTGTGCCGCATTCAGCTTATGTGTCATTTCCATTAGTTTGTCGTCCAGATTGATGCAGAGCTGAATATTTCCCATTTCGTATTTCGACAAAAAAGAAAAAAACAATGAGATAAACAAAGCAACTGTTGAGGAAAACTACCTTTTGGTTCAAATATTTCACGTTAGGGGCGTTGCACATGATTTTATTGTCATCCAACGTATTCTACAGATATTAGTATATATAGGTGGGCAAGGCATTAAAAGAATTGGTTAAAACGCTGGATACAATTTCTACAGACGACAGACGGATTCTGCTTTGGTTGTTACAATAAAAGCAGCAGCAGGTCTCTACTCTGCATAAATAGCTAAAGCGTAAATATGTGTTCTCTTGACTTTATCTTCTTTGACTTTGTTTGTCTTCATTCCTAAATTTGATTTATTTTACTTTCAAGTTTTCTTAAATCGTTTTCTTTTTATTTTTCTTATATTTTTAATATAGTTAAACATGGGCAATCCAATCTGGTTCATCTTTTGGTTTTTGATTTTCTGGTTTATCTCATTCTTTGTGGCATTTTTCTGCGCCGGTGTTTATATCATAGTTTACATCTTGGTTATATGTTTTCCAGGCATGTCGGTAAGTGACAGAGAAAAGTATTTTTTTATTTCCTTCTTGTTCATAATATATAATGTAAATGCAACTTTTACAGGGCTTCACCGATATTTTACTGCAGTGCATACAATTTCCACATTATTGCGCTAAAGCTATGCTGGAATGTCGATCACCTTTCTAAGCGAATGTTTCGCTTCTTATTTCGCTGATAAGTTTTAATATTTTTAAGAAAATTTATATATATATATATATATATATATATATATATATATATATATGTATACATTGTATACATATACATAATATATATATACAAATGTTTTTATTTTTATTTCTTTTTTATTTAAGTATAACATATTTTTATCTACATGTATGCATATTTATGTTCAAATTTTTTATAATAAATTAACGACAAAAAATATACATTTAAAAAAATGTATTACGAGAATTTTATTAGTTCGTTCTTAAATACTGATGTCATCATTGCTTATCATGTTAGAATATAAAGTTTCTTTTTTTGAAAAGACAGAATCATAACTATTAGGTTGTCCTATAAATAATGCCGAATTTTTCTTTTATTTGTCAATTATTTAGTGTAGTATTGATATGTAACAGATTTCTTCGGATTTAATAATAACTTGCAAGTGTTGGCAGAAGCAGAAAAAGAAAGGTTAGGCCCTTGGAATGCTTAGGTTCCTGGGTTATCAGCTGGAGCTGATTCTGTTAGCGATAACCTAGCGGAGAGAGATAAGTAGTGCGGAAAAAAAATCGTTACAATATATCTTATGAAACGTAGATAAATTTTTGCTGTCACGTATAAGAAATTCTACTACATGACAATACGTTACATCTATTCACATGGTACTTATTTCTTATAAGAGCGTCTTGCAAGAGGTTATCCGAGTTGAAAAGAAAATAAAATCCTTTAAAAATCGCAAAGGTATATTATGTAAATGGTATATTATGTAAAGTGGGCAGAACATATTTTAGAGTTAACTTGGGAGATAAAAAACATGGTCTATCTTATGCCACGCAAGTTGAGCAGGTCTGTGTCGAGGGTAGGATTGTGTACATAGAATAAGAAAGTCTGCAATCTTTTCTCTACGGAGAATCTAAACACAATCCGAGCAACCGTATTCGAGCTAGTGGCAAATATATCCTGTATTTAAGAAGTGGAGCGTGGCTAAAAACTATTATGTTCTCCAAACAAATTTTACCAGGCACAATCATACAATTCTTCTGCCTGAATTGTCTTAGCACTTGACTGCAGCGTGTGATATGAAGTAGTAAGCGTGTAAGCGTCTACACTATTTTCTGGGACACGCCGCCTTTTGCCATATTGATATAAACAATATTTTGTATACCCATTGTGAAAGAAAACAACACTTCAATTTGACGTGTAATTATTGTGACTCGCCACAGTCGCAAATATAAAGATAGGAAACTAAAATTTGGTACAAACACATCTTCGACACATGATCGACTAAGAACACGAGGTTAAAAAATTGACGCAATCTGTTCATAGACATGGACACAACACAGAGGAACGTAAAACAACCTCCAAAACCATCGGCAAGTTTTTTCATATTTTCGCCTATAATTTTCGATCTCGGGAGTAAGTTACCGGAAAATTGATACCCGTCTAGCTGTCAAACCACCAGCATGTTCGGTGGAAAAACTGTTCGCTAATACATCCACGATTAACGAGAAAATTTTAGTTCAAACTTACTTTCTTTATATCGGGTCGTTCGGAAAGTCATATCGTTCTCTTTGGATTACTGCGCTATTATGAACGGTCAAATTCGACTAATGTAATCTCTCAGCGGTCTCACGAATTGTTTCTTGCTTATCGGAGGTTTGCATCAGTTAGTCCCTTTACCTTGTTTTCATCAGCTTTAACACCGTCAATAGATCTTCGTACACTTTCTTGCTTGAATTCCCTTCTTTGCTTTATCGAGAGTAAAAAACTAAAATACGCCGGATTTTGCTGTCTTCGACTTCCAATACCTGATAAGGCGCCAAACAAAAATCTTTGAGCAGATTCAAACAGATCTTTTCAAAAACAAGCCTTGAAATATTAGCTCTTAAATTAAATAATGAAAATTTGGTTAAATTATCAAGTTGGCTGCGAAAAAACACGGTTGTGAAGAGACGACGTGACTTTCCGAACCACTTAATATTTTCTAATAATTTTAGCGCAGCTTGGATAGGATTTCATAATTAATTCTGTGTTAGTAAACCGATTGAAACCATTCTTGGAATGGATGTGAAAGTGATTCTAATCAATACCTGGCTGACAGGGTTATGGGATCAAAAGTTACACACATAATATTATATATAAAGAAGCTGTCTGCGTTTTCCGAGATTGTTTTAGTTTCTTCTGTATTGTAACAATGTCTCTAAATTTGTCGGATCCACTTTTTAACTTCCTAACTTTAATCGATCAAAGAATGCTTGTGGCAAATTTTCGTTCTCTACCTTCCTTTTTGCGAATGCGATGATTCGCGATATTTACCCGTCAAATTGACATGGTTCCGTAAATCAAGTGTTAAAGCAAATCTCTTCATATTCAATAGAGTTTGGATTAAAATTCAATTAAAAATCAATTCGAGTTGAAAACACAAGTTTAGTGAAAAATGAGTTCATGTTTAATAAAAATGCAATTTAAATAAAATTCAAAAGCCATCTAATTAGGATTGATACTACTCAAACAACATCACACATATACGTGCTTCTATGAAAGTGTTGAACATTCCGGACGTCCGCACCTAAATATTCAGATGGTTCTTTTAATTCTCTTGCACTTGGAAAAAAGTATTGATACGTTCGTTGGTAAGCAACCACGCTTACCTACCTGTTGCGTACAATTTGATGTTGAGCAGGCCTGTCGAACATATGTGCTAAAGTCCCATAAATTATGCAGAGAAATATGAATTTAAACTCGCGTATTGATTTAAAAACTACTGTTATATAAACATTGCTACCAATTATGTCAATAGACGATCGCTTGCGAGAAAAAAGGAAATAAATTAAAGGACGATTGCGATCAATTTATAGTTAATAGTAGGTAGCAGTTACTTTCTATTTTAAATGTTAATAATTAATCATTTAAATGATGGACCTAACAAAACAAATGTATAGAGTGAGCGGAAATTAGGATATATCTATACACTATTAGTTCGTTTCATCTATTATGGGAAGAACGGAAGCCAGAGTTCAGTCAGAGTTCAGAGTTTCAAGTCAACTTGAAAGATAAAACAAGACCAACCAGCATTGTGAAACGAAGGAACAACTAAACGGTTTTTATTTAAAATGCCTTTACAGACGAGTTTATAAAATTATTTAACGAACAAGAAGAATCTTATGTCTAAAGAAAAATTAAGCGAAAAGAAACTCAAAGAAGAAAAGAAGTTTTAAGACTCTCTGTCTTAAATTTCATTTTCTGTTTTATATATATATTACTGTGAATATTGGCATGCATTTGTGTTTCAATATTAAAATTTCTATATATATATATAAATATATATATTTACATAGATATTTCACCATTTAATTGCCGGCAATTAAAGTGGTTAGTGTACCTGAATTCCAGGACTTTGGCTTCAAAATTGTATGGCGGCAGGGTAAAAGCTTTACGTTATCAAAGTTTATTGCTAGCGTATAGAATAACAACAACTGCATTCAAATATCTAATAACAATAAATAACAGTTATACACACTAATACAAACGCAAACTAGTGCTACAGCTAAGGTTCACAACTTTTGCAAGTAAGATTAGTTCGGTTATTAAGGAAATAGGACACAAGTAAGTTGAATACCCGGCTAAAGCTTGAAGCTATTGTTGAAGATATTGTTTCTGTTCGATTGCCTCCAACAACTCTAAATATTGGCGATAAAATAATAAAATATTACGCAATGCATTCATTTCTATAATAAGCAGTTAAGCCGAGACGACTAAACAGTAAAGAGTTAGAATAAAAAGTAAAATATGAGAAAAGCCCTCCTATGGTTACATATGAGATAAGGATGCCGACACATTTCCTTAAAAGGTAGATAAGGAAAAGCTTTCAAAAACAGCTGAGCTACAATCAAAACAGAAGGATAGCATATGAGAGTAATTTAAATGAGCGAGCAAATAGGGTTCCGGTGGGTTAACTGCCTTTTAAAAAGCTTTAACGCTTCAAGAAAGGAAAAAGGGAAAGAAAAAATGGGGAGAGAGAGAGAGAGAGAGCGAGAGAGAGAGAAAAGCGTTCGTGTTAACGCAAGAGCGAAAAAAATCTGTTATAATATAAAATTGTAAAATTATGTGAAAGCTTTCGACTTGAACGCTTAAATGAGAAGTAAATAAAAAAGTAAACATATTTTAAAATTTTCATCCTGGGTGTTATTCAAACGTGACTCTTCTTTTGTGGCGGTCCGTGTCTGCTAGTAGTTAAATATTGAAGAACCCGAAACTGTGAGAAAGCATAAAAATATAAGGAAAAAGTAAAAAAATCAAGAGAATTTTTTTTGAAAGGTTTTATAACGCATTGATTAAACAATAAAGAAAAGATATTTTTTTTTGTTTTCCTACAAAATAAAAAGAAACAATTTTCAATAAATATAATAATAATAATAATAAGAAATTGAAAAGAAAAGTTAATGATTGTGCAGTTATGTGCTTATCAAATACTATAGTATACATTTAGGCTGAATGATTATATTCGATGAGTGAAAAGTTTTATTTTGAATGTCATTTTCGTTGAGGTTTAAATTACAAGAAAAAAGTTTTGATTTTATTTTGTGTTCATTGTACGTTATATACCGTTCTTTTGCCATTTGTTATTATTCTTCTTGTTATTGTGTCTATGTGAGTAGTGATCGATATTTTTATTTACTTCTCCACATTTTTTGTTATTGCTTTGCTTCGTATATCTCAGAACAGGTAATGCCCTTACATCCTTTATGCCCCCTTAACATATCAGGCCAAAAGAAATTTTGAAATATTTCGATCATAATTAATGCAAGTGCGCCGTTTCTGGATAATATAGATGGAAAACAAAAATATGTTGAGATTTAAAATTTAAAGTATAAAAATGTGAGCGCATATTCTACGGTCAATGCTGTTGCGTTCGTATACAAAAATGGGAAAGGTTGACCACGCCTACCCAATATTTTAGCGTATCAAACTTTAATTTTCTTTTCAATACCTTTATAATGCACAGCAACCAAGCGTCAAAACCCAATAAAGTATACAATTTGTTGGCCAGCGTTCGTGTTTGTATCATGATATTATGAAAAATGTTAAAGTCGAAATGTCCGTCCATCCTTCAATTTATATATAATTAAAATACAAATGAAACTCAGAGGATTAAAGTTTCAGGTCGAAATTAAAACTAAAATCTAAAATCAGATAATATCGCCTCGAAATTTATAAATCGGGGATTTTAAGAAACTTGTATGAAAAGTTTGTGATCTCTTGAGAAATTTTGCTTTAGAATTTATTTTATTTGATAATTTTTTGGGAAAATGTTTTTAAAAAACTTGGTGACAAATCCGTTTTACATAAGATCTACGTATTTTTTAATATTAGATTAGTTTTCTTTAGGGCAAAAATTGGAAAAAGTTGAGCATAGGTGTCTATCTAATCTAAGTTCTTAGCAGAGGGAGTAAATGCAAATTGTTGATGATTGCACAAGTGGCGGGCAATCAAAGGGTCGACTTAAGCTGCGTATAACATAAATTTTATTGGTTTCTAACTATTATTATTTTTTTAATGCAAAGCTTTAAGGATGAGTGATGTATGAAAATTCTTCTTTCGTTTGTCAATCTTATAATGGATTAATATATCTAAACATACTTATTATTTAGGCTCTCCTGCTGCTAATCCGTGTTGGATATTGTCATAGAAAAACTATATGTAGACCTTACGATAATTGAACATAATAGAGAAAATGTTTTTAGATCTCTTTGTCATTCGTAAATAGATTTCTTTTGCAAATGTTATACTATTCACAATTCTGTTCGTCGCATTGATTGTTTGACGGATTTGCATTCACTGAGCAGGCACACAACCCTAGCTTCGGTCAATTCGGTTAACTTGTTTATTGTAAAAATAACAGGGCACGCAGACGTATGGATTGCAAAAGTTTTAAGTACACTAAATGGAATATGTGGCGTCTATAGTCCGCAATATGGTGTTACCAACTCGCAGCAGTACATATTTTAAGAGTTATATATTCTGGGTAGTGTATGGACTTACGACATTTACTTTCCTATCGAACGATAGATATTCACGGAATTAGGTTACAAGGTCTAAATGGCAATGGTCCATCAGCAAGCTAAATCGCCTCAAACTTTTAATCCCATAAGTTGTTGTTTATCTCCCCCAAAATTGAGTAGCGTTTGACAGCACATTTCCAAGAGTGGAAAATTTTGTATAAAGGTGTCGTGTATTCTGGCCATGTTACAGCTGTCTTAAGTCCGTTAATTGATGTGTTGTCCACGATTTTTGTAAGATATTTAGAGTCATGATGTCGACAGGAAAATGAATTCCCTTTTTACCCGTTTACTTTAGGTATAATAATAAAAGTTGTAACAAAAATATTTAACGAAAAGACGACAGATGGGTAATCAAAATTCGTTCTGATCCAATAATATATTTCCTATGCTATAGAATCTATACGTTTGTACGTACTGCGTATATATCTCTTCTCATCTTTCTCATTACTTGGCATTTGCTTTTGCTTTTGTTATTACGGCTGTTGTCTTCACCTTATCCTCCTTAGTCTCCTATGTTATTGTTGCCAATTGATGTAAAACTTATTGCAGTCGTTAGCATTGCTTTCTGGCTAGTATTGCGTTTGTATGCGGTCTTGTAGGACCTAAACCGCAGAAATTATCATCAGGTTAAGGGGCAATCAATTGTAGGTTTTTTTTTTTTTTTTTTTGTTAAACTCATCAGCAAATAAGATTTTGATGCTATAAAAAAATTTTACTACAGGAAAATCTCATTAAAGAATTATTTCCCTTAGGGCCCAAAACTTGGAATATCTAAGACACTTAACTTAAGTCCTATCTGTGTTTCTTCATGAAAACTACGACATAAAAATCTGGGGTAGTTTCCTAAATGGAAAGTAATTTAATCGGAAAACAGAAATTTGTCAAAAAAAAAAAACAACAAAAAGAAAAAAAACGCAGCAGAATATGGTTCGTTTATTGTAGGCCCAACAACAAGGGAGGGACGTCTCCTAATAACTTCATTCACTCAATAGTGATTTCTATAGGGGAGAAGAAAAACGAAATTTCTGATTGAGGATATAATTTTTAGAATTTTTTTTAACATTTCCAAAATTTTTATATGTCTTCTAAAAAAAACAAAAATTTAAATAAAATGGAGCAAAACTTATCAACAGCGACGGCGGCACGGGGTATCGATAACGAATATTACAAAAGCTTTCCGAAAATCTATTTAATAACAGAAACTACGAGACTTTTAACAGAAGGTATGAACACATGAATAATTTTGTTCTTATGCTTCACATTCAATGCCGATAAAAACCGTGGTGCAACTAAATTGTTGCGTATGAGTTAATAACAGAAACCGTGGTGCAACTAATAAGTAAAGGTTTTAACAATAGCCTGCCTAAAGCTAACATAAAAGCCACGATGTTGATGATGATAAAGAAATAATGAGAGCACGTATAGAAAAGACGAAAGGAGAGACAGATAGGGAGTGTAAATGTAAAAATGCAATAATTGTTGAAAAGCTTTCACTCTGTGAAAGCACGTTTTTTCTGCCTTCACGTATAACAACTTTTTCGTAGCGTCGCAAGGAAAACGTGATATTAATAGGAGCTCTCGCTTTCTCTCTCGCCTTATGTAGAGCAAAATTTCAAATGAATATATGTTAGTAGTTATTACTGAAGTGTATGACTGTGACAATCATACTCTCTCTCCATCCACTTGCTTTAAAGATGTTCAGTGTTGGACTTTTTCAATTCAGTTTAGTTAGAGACGTTGATCAGAGTGCTTTGAACACAAATAAGTCTTTTATACTCAAATATTGAGAAAATTCAGTCATAATTACTTGAAGTTTATTAAAAAAAAAAAAAATAAAAAAATTAATAAATAAAAAGCATTATATCTATTAAAAAAAACTATACAAAATTTTTAATTACTTTCATGTGTTAAAAAATAAAAAAAAAAAAAAATCAAATAAAAATTTTTCATATACTAAAGAAAAAAAAAACTCGTTACATCAAATAAAGTGCAAACATTTTTTCTGGGTGTTAAGGAAATAAATGAATAATTAATTACTTGGCACGTGGTCTGAGCAAAATTCAATTGAAAATAAAAACAAATAAAATTTTAAAATAAAACAAAGCCAACGTACAACAGAGCAGTTGACCAAAACATTCAAAGAAAGAAAGAACAAAGCATCAGTGGAACGAGACGCAATCGATTGGCGTAAGTGTTTTTTGGTTTTCACATCGAAAATACCTTTAACATGAATATTATCGCAATTATAAATAATTTCCATTTATTGATAGTTAGAGTTTAATTTTTGGTAACCAAGTTGAAATTGACTTTAGCTCATGTTATGACTTATCTTTCGTTTTCCTTCTACACATTCTTTTCTTTTTTAGATTCGGCTTTAGATCTCGAGGATCTGGTCTACTAGGGAGAATCTGCTCCAAGCTTTTTTTTTTTTTGGGTAAATAAAAAAAATAAGTTCAATCAATAAGGCAAGTGCACTCGCTTTCGAATGAGCTTTGCATACCCACTGCTTAAGACAGTTACACAACTTGTTCATTCCTCCTCGATCCTCGAGAAAAAACTTCATTTTAAATAGCTTGTCGATGGTGGAAGTGCCAATTGTCCTGTCAGGACAAATACTTCCCTGTGATATTATCCGAACTAAATTTGGATTGGCACTCTGCCTCCAGGCATCAATGCACGTTTCAAGATCAGTGCAATTATTTGCTTTTAGCAATCCTCGAACCAATTTATACATTGAGGTATCAAGATCGGACCCGGAAACTAATAGGAGCGCAAATAAAATTTTAGATTGCCATTTTAAAGATGGTCTTCTTAAAAACGAAAACGTGAAAGCTTTCGAAGAGGTGCCTCAAGACCGGTGCCTTTACTTGGCCATAGAAACCGGTCAAACCAAATTTTAGGATTACATTTTAAACAGTTTCTTGTTAATTGAGTAAGCACTCAACACAACTTTAAGTCATAGCTTAAGCAATTCCACTTTTTTGGGTTTCACATACCATTGCATCAAGGGTTTCTCGAGACGCGAAGAATTCATTTAATTCCTGTAAGCAGTCAAATCTTATGATCGCTCAGTTTTCAACTGATAACTCAAAATATTTATCCTGACTTGACTAACTCAATCCATCATTTCTTGAAAACCGATAAATTTATTTGATCAATCATCCGCCTGAGTGAGCGAGAAGTTAAATTATCTCGAATCAAATCTCAAGGGCCGCAGAGTTTTCAATAAAGCCTATAGCATTGGATGCTAGCATTTTAAGACTTTAGTCTCACAATTTATTTCTTTGGCTAAATTAATAACAATAATAATATGCGATCGCTCCAACTAAATTTTAGTCTGACTGACAATATTTGCCCTGTTAGTATGCATTCAAAGCAGGGGTTAGTCTGTTACCTTGCCTTGTCCGCAAATGGCCTTAATAAAAATATTAGACAGTCTAAGAAGTTCAAAGTCCACAGTTGATAATCAATTGTGGCTTCAAATCGTCTTAATTTGATAGAGAGTGGTATTTATGGCTAACTATGACTATTTTATTGGGCTCATTTTTTTTATTTTTTTAACTATCAAATACAATCAGTTTCCTCGTTGCCTTTCAAATTGTTTTAATAGGTTGGTCATGAGACACTTGTGCCTACTTTTCAACGCGGGTTGCTGATTTCAAACAGAAATTGAGATAAATAAATCTTGATATTTTTTTCAAATCTGCGATTAACGTCGGCTTTTTTATTGAACTGAATGTTTTCAAAGACAGTCTAAAATCTTACCAAGTATAATCATTACGCGTACTATGTTTCGCAACGGTGACGAGTGAAAATGTACCTTAGAAAAATGCTAGCAATTGATTCCTGCTGGCACTTGCATAGGCCATTATTAATGGACTAAATTATAAATTAATAATAAGGTTTAGTTAGAAATTGTGAACTCAAGTTAATCACTTTCGGTTAAAAACAAAACATCGCAGGGAACCGCTACGATGACTGTTATGGATAATGGCCTTTTGTCTTTTAATTTCTTTTTGGCTTTTTCTCCAGCAAATGTACCCTTTTCGCCTTGAAGTTGCGTATAATTGAAGGCCTAACGCCTTAGCTTTGCAGTCGTTTGTCCTGGAACCCTACAGAATAAAAATTTTGTATTGTTTATGTCCGGTTTATTCTGATGTATAATACTAATGGGTCCAATCGATCAAGCAAAGTGTGTGTCAAATTTCGGTTTTCCATCTGCATTTTTGCGACTGTGGCAATTCCACAGAAAAAAGGAGGATCAAAATGATTACTTTTGGTAGAAGCCAGCATATGTTATCAGTTGTTCAAAAACTCGACTAGGTAGACAGAGATTAATCGTAGATATGAAAAACTTTTCTTGTAAATAATAGTCAATCAAAGATTTTGAAACTTCAAATGACTTATGACCAGTAGAAAATTTAAATCAATCTAAATGGCGTAATCGGTATTTCCAGCTGTAACTATGGTCTTATGTGTTATCTGTAGCCTTACATAAACTAGTTGTTATATGTGTACGATAATATCGATGTATATATAGCGATTATTTATCATATAATTTATGATAAGTCGAAATAATTGTCTGGTCTCTTAACGGAACATGTGCATTGGCTTGCAATTTTTCAAAAACAAACTATTTTCATTTTTTTAGTTAGTGTAGCGAAGTTTGTGGTAAAATGTTGACCTTATCGGATGAACTGTTAATAAATAAGTTGCTATCAGCTAAGAACATACGCGTCAAGCTTTAGTCTTTTCTTTGACCTTTTGAGCGACTACTAGTGTAGCAAAAATTTGAAGACAGATGGCCATACGAACGCGAAATTGCTAGACGAATTTTAATTACATTTAATTAGATTCAGAATATCGCGCTTGTGAGGAATGTATGTGTGTTTGATGAAGACCTCTCTTATAAATAAACCTCTACGATACCTAAACCTTCTCTCTATATAACTGAAATGTTAAGTTTAAAAAAATTGTTTCCTTCATCAGCAAGGGATGCGGTAAACATATATTCTTTCTTAAAACATTCTGCACTAACTTGTAAATTGGCCATCGAAGATATTTAAAGGGGAGCAATTTTTCTTCGCAGTTGAAATTTTTGTTAATATCTTAGCTTTGTTACTCAATTTTTAGCAATTAAAAATATGCATTAGTTATTAATCAAAGGCTCACCTAAAAGTATGCATTGAAAAATAATGATTAAAGCTAATACACGCAGCTGATGTACAAACACTTAGTTAATAGGGAACTATAAACTAGTCCAGGTGCCTTATCCGTAAGTCTGTCCCCTAGTTTGCTATTGGCTTATTATTATTATTATTATTGCACAGTAAAGTTCAATATTTATTGAAATTAAGGTAAGATAATTAATTAAATGTAACAAAAATTGACTTAGAATAACGGAAGGACTTTGGCTTCAATTTGAATTTTTGCGATCATTCAACATAACTACACTCTTGGAAACTTTATTTGTTGTAAAAGGCTTGCCAACACCATGGTCCAGACATTCAAATTCATAATTTCCTTACCTTTTGCTTTACGAATGTTCTCCATAGTCTGTCAACCACCGTACGTACTCTATGTATCAATAAAATAAATATATAATGATCATCTCTTGTTTATCAGATTTGATTAAAAAGATTATATAAATAAATAGCGCATATAACACGCCCACAAATCGTAACAAATTCCTTCTTTTTATTTAGCTTTACCTTTTTTCAAATTAAATTTTTTTTTTCTTTTTTGTCTGCCATAATTAATAACAACGAAATTAGTCAAAGAGAATCTAATTTACCTTAGGAGAAATCAAATATGTCTTAAACTGACACCAACGACGGCAAGTGACACTGCCAAATTGACAGTGAGAAAAATGGGGTTTTTGTTCTATAAAATTTGCGAACTAAATATCACTCATCTATATATGATTTGATTTGATTTGATTTGAATGGTTCGAAACGGTTTTCAGGCCACAAATACTAATGTAAATTAAAGGAGAATAGAACAAAAGAATAGAAATGCATTGTAGATTTTCATAATCGAAAGACAGTGAAGTATGAATAAAATATTTAAATTTTTATTTATGAAATTGTTTAAGTAAACTTTGCATTTTTTTTATTACATTTTTGCAATTACGTCCATATTCATACATAGGACGCAAGCAGGTGAATAAAATAAATGAAACGGAAATTAAAACGAATTACATTAAGAGGGAGGAAGTTCGAGAAAGCAAATAAACAAACGGAGACAAATCGAAGGACAAAACTTGAACATAAACAAACGAACGTACACTGCTACATCAATCTGACTTAACATCGTAATGTAATATTATAGTTTGCTCACAAATGATATATAATTCGAAATGTACATAAGCGTAAGCGTAAGATATAAAAATTGTTCGCCAGGAAGTTTTATTGCTTTTGCGTTTAACGTCATTTTATTTAACATGACTTTTGCCAGCTCATCTTTCGCAGTTAGAGTGTAAGTTCGTTTTGGAAAATTGTTTCCTTTTTTCATTTATGTATTAAGCTAAAATCAATTTTTCACATTTTCACGCTTTTACAGTTGGGTGAGAAAAGGGTTCGATTTGAGATTTGTAAGCCTGAGTCACTCAACGTTCAACCAAAAGAAAAAGCTATCGCTTTTTAGCAAATGTTGAATGCAGTTCATCACCTTTAACTTGTTGTCACCCTCGACAACTTGATGTAACTTTTGTAGGCAAATATGCAAAAACAATATCATTCGTCTTTATTTACAATTCGTTTAAGATTCAATAGAACGAAGAGATGCTTACGCAAGCCCGTTAATCCAGCTGACTTTCTCCCGCAAAATTGTATAACCTAAATAAGAAAGCTTCAGAGAAGCTCTATTAAAATCACCGTTTCACATAAGCTTGTTGTTAATTAAAATTAACTCTTTATTCATAAAAATATTTCAATATTTTTTGTTTACTTTCAAAGTTACTTTGGATTGTTGCTTAGATTGGCCTCAGACCGTTTGTTCACGCGTTGCGTTAATTCTAAAGCATTGTTGGCGGTTTTGACCTTAGTAAAAACAATGACAGTTTTCAATATTTCTCACGAAAGGGAAGTACAGTTGTGTAAAAATATTAGCAAAGGATATAGAAAAACAGTTATTTACAAATTCATTGTTTTGAAATTTCTGACTTTTCTCAAATAATGCACCTCCCG